TTTACAGTTCTCCCGTAAAACTTCAAAATGAGTTTTGTGTTTACTAAGTATGCACGGTTTTGTACGGAAGGCTATATTTACGCTATGGTACTCAACGTCTTATGGTTAAAAGTTGTCTTGCACCTTTGTTCACCAGGAACTGTAGAAAAGAGGGTGTCACAACATTAGTTAGACAAAACAATAAATTTTGGTGGTGAACACTGAAACCGGTCATCCAGTCATATTCAGAAATGGCTCATCAGTTCATTCCAGTAGTATATACACGTATGTAATAAAATTCAGACGATTGTGAAATTAAATAATGGTGACTATTTCCCTGGTCTTAACTTTTACCAATCACAAACGCATAATTTTCAATCACAAATGGTTTCTAGATGGAAATATTGTATGACAGCAACTGTCAGCAGTTTTTTCGAGCTTACTCGCGGCAAAACTTGACAGCTACTACTATTTGTCATTGTTCGTCAGAGCGGTCCGGTGGACCTTTGCTCTTAGTTAAAAGTCTCGTCGGTCTGTTAGTCTGTCAGGTCTGGCTACCCAGATACCAAACATGTTTAAGAGGAAAAGGGAAAGAAGGAAAGAAAGGAAGGAAGAAATAGAGCAAAGAAAAGAAGTAAATCATTTGAAATAGCTTAATCATTATTGCTTTGACTATTCGAATAATTTTGTAACGCCAAAAAATTATTTTGATCGGTTTTGTATACTGTATAGTTTTGGCTGGTCTGAATTCAAAATTTAATTTTGATCACAGCGCGAGGCGCGGTCTGGATTGTTTGCGAACTTGCTCGACTGTGTGGTCTACTGAATTACGCAACAGAAGGTTGCTGTGCGATTCGGCTTGATTATAACGAAGCTATGCCTGTTGTTTTACATAATCCCTTAGATATGGGATATCAAGATCTCTGTGAATGGTCTCATTTGACACGTACCGAGGGGCGTTAATGATTGTGCGTAGGATTCTGTTTTGCAGGACTTGCAGTCTCTGCATGTGCGTCTTGGCAAGAAAACACCAACCCGCGCATGAGTAGGTGATTGCAGGTCTTATAACCATTTTATATAACCGAATCTTGTTGATAAAACTTAATTTTGAATTTCTACACAACAAAGGATAAAGCTGCCGAAAGGTAATTTGGAATTTTGTTTTCAAAATATCAGCATGTTTCTGTCAGGTGAACCCCTTGTCAATAATGAGTCCAAAGTACCTCACAGATTGTTATACGATTGGTATACGAGTTCCATTCACTGACATCTCTGAGGGGGCACCGCGGCGTTTTTTAGTACAATAGATTGCCTGCGTTTTCGAAGTATTAATTTTGATCATCCACCGATCCGCCCACTCCAATACTTCCTCCACCGCACTCTGCAGCCTGTCGTGAACCAGGTTACCGGAACAAGACTGAGCTAGCAGTGCAGTGTCATCAGCATAGAGATAGACTTCACAGTTGCTGGGGCAAGGGACGTGATGTGTATAAAGTGAATAAAGGATTGGTCCTAAGACCGAACTCTGAGGAACACTTCCTTCCTTCTAGAAAATATTTCAACAGTTTTAGAAGAAAAAATGGAAAACCGTTTTGGATGAGCTTATACTTTTGTTCAGGGTGAACCTCCTGGCTACATGCAGCACCAGCCTGTGGCTCCGTACTATGCTCAGATTAAAAGCCAAATTCCACGTCAGGAATCACATGGTGATCTGACGAGAAATTCTTAAGGTGGCGATAAATCAGCTTTTCAGCGAACTTAGAAGCTGACAGCAGGATAATGGGACGGTAATCCTGGGGGAATATCAAACCTGCCTTCTTTGGGATCATGATGAATTCAGCAATCTTCCACGCCACCACGCCTCAGGAAATTAATGAGTTCTGAGCATTGCATTGATTATTGCCACCGGATAAGTCCAAGCCTTGAGCGAAAACAACTTCAGTGCTTTTTTTGGTGATTTGACCCTCTCCAGGTGCTATACGCACCTTTAGGTCCTTAATGTGGCCTTGGAGCTCTGCTGGTGTGCAAAACGGAATCTCAGGGGATTCCGATAATGTGCTATGCTGAGATTCATCTGAAGAATCTTCCGTAGAAGAATCTTCTAAAATGGAGTCCCAGATATTAGCACTGACGTTGTTGTCGCTATTCGCTCTGAAATATCTCGTGACAGATCTTACAATTTGTCGTTCCTCGTCAAGGTCATTGTCGAGATCATAATTGGGAGAAAACTACCTCTCCATGACGTCATCAAAAAGCTCTACTTTATCCTCAGTCGTGAAAACTATGCCTCCAGGATCATGAATATGTGGTAGTTTTTCTTGCTTTCCGTTTCTGAGCGATTTTGCCACTTTCCAGAGAGGAATACTTGATTCAAGCATCCCCGCCAGAAAGCCGCTCCACTGCTCATTACGGAATTCATGGAGTGCATTTCTCACTTCATGGACGAGACTCGTCGCTATACGAATCAGGATGACAAGACCTTTTTGCTTGCTTAATCGCAGCCCTCTTTTCAGAAATTTTCCGACGGATGTCAGCAGGGAGAAACTTGACAGCTGTTGTTACAAAAAATTACAATACCTTTGATAACAAGTCATTATGGTCTAGGTCTAGGATACCAGAAAAACGACGCTAAACAATTTTTCCGATATTATTGTATTTAAAAAGTGCTAGTCAGGTTATTTAGTGAAAATGAGTCGCTAGGGAACTGATTCTTTGACTATATTGATCTGGCGATTGAGAAAAGTGTACCGTACAATACCGTTAAAACCTATACATCAACATGGAAACAGTTTACGGAATTCTGCAAGGCCAAGAAATGCGAGCTCTTGGAAACTACAAGTTTGGAGCAACTAAACCTAATCCTGAAGGATTGGGCGTGGAGTATGAAGGAGAAAACGGTGAAAATTCCAAAGAACTAGTTGTCAGGACAATGTGGAAAACCGTTGCAGAATAATGCAAGACGTGTACCTTATGAGGTGTAAAATAATTTTTGATCCACTTAAAAAGATTATCTTGAAGTCTAGTAGAGTAACTCGTAATGCGAAACAAAGGAATTTGTAGGAACTTTAAAAATAATACTTTAATACGTAGTATGTTTTGTAAGCTATGTATATGCAGAATATGCCGCTAATCATGAAATAATAGTCGTGTCAAATATTATTCGGGAATCTAATTTTTTCCTGTGAAAAAATCGAAAAAACGCAATGCAATAGTTATTTATTATACAAGGGAATAAGTACTAGATTTTAGCTTGAGGTTGTATTGTCGCGCAGACAAAAAACCGAAAGCTGAAATCTAGTACTTTTCCCGTGTGTAATAAGTACACAATTTTTTTCTCTGACCGAAAAAACGACGATTTAATTTTTAGAAATTATATCATTACAATATTTAAGTCAGAAAATTATCGATGTGAAATTTGAATTTTGAAATTACCAGGCTATGTTGTACTTATACCGACAATTAGACCTGCGTTGCTAAGGAAACTTTTAAAGTACGAGTAATCAAATGGCTGTCAATTTAATTTTGTGATTTGATTTGAAAATTGTGAACGTAGTGGTTGCTTGGACGTTATTTTTAATACTATAAAGAAAAAATGTCAGATTCCAACTTCTCTTTAACTCCACCGGAATTAGTAGTATGAAAAAAACATGCAGTTTTGTCGGAGACGGTGTTGTTGGCTTATTTTTCGGAATTGGCACAACAACAAAAGCCATCACCAGTGTGGTCGAATTATCCGATGATTAGACGTATTTTACTATCCAATAATAACATAATAATATTCAAAATATTTCACAATAATGACATTTCTTAAACGAAATAGGAAAGGTTACAAACCCAAGAAAGCTGCGATTTTTACGAATACACAAATTAGTGATTTTCCAAATAATGCTCCCGATGAAGCTTATTTAATGGCAACGGGTGTTTTATTTGGGATTGCAGAAGCTTGTCGAATTTGTTAAAGCAGCCAGGTAACATTAGATGATATTGAAGATTCGGGAACGTTATTAGGTGTGAAACTTAAGGAAACAAAGAATGATGTAAACAGGAGATTTATAGTTACTGGAAAATATATTAAATTTTATCAGCAACGGATCGCCGCCTGTTTATGCATATCACAAAGAAAAATGTATGAATCAGGTTGTGGGTAAAGACCCGTTTTATAAAGTTCCCGAAACAGTGGGTAATTTTCTTGAACTTGAAAATAATAACTACAGGTCATTTATTTCGAAGACTGCTACACTTTTAATTGAATCTGGGGGAGACTTGATGACACTAAAGAAACATGGCGGTTGGAAGTCATCAACGGTCGCTAAAGGCTATGTTGATGAATTGGTGTAGCACACAGGACAAAAATAGCTAACATAATAAAGTGTTTAGAACGTGTGGTAGTGCTGAAATAAGACCGGATTTGCGACCAAGTACATCAACGGGAGTTGTGGTGGCAGAAAAACATTTTTTTTCCCGGGGAAAAAAGTAATTTCATAAAAAGTGACATTTTGTTACCTGTCAATAGAGATAAAATGTCAAACTCTTTTCCCGTCACAGAAAAATGTAATATTTTAAAAAAAAAAACATTTGTGCAGGTGCAAAAATCAATTTTTTTTGAAAACTTAGATGCTCTTATGATATTACTTATGATAATATATGTCGAAATATCTGGGTATCAAGACGTAATTTTTCGATAAAGTTCTATAACATCATGTAGTCCACATCTCATAATGGCTGACACAGCAAGCGAAGTGATTGCTCGGGGATTTGAGTAGATTTTGTTATATTGTAGCTTCGGTTATCATTAATAAGTCATATCCAAATACGATCACTTACGTGCGATCTAGATCTTATACCTCCAATAGATGATGAGTTGCTCAGCTTTCATTCATTGTCGTACCTAAACGCCACGCCAAACAGCTGTACATGGTTGGCTCTCATTTGGTTTGACAAACACCAGTAGTATCACTAATCCCTGATAGGTGTTCTGAAGCTGAAGCCAAATTGTAAATATAATTGTTTTTTCGGTTTAGGTTCCAATTTCATCCACAGCAACGACCACACAGTTGGCATTGGTAAATGAAGGTACAACGCAAAGCCCCGTCGACATCACCACTAGGCTAGCAATTTCCACAAGATCTACCACAATGGAACCATTGTTAACATCCCCAGAAGTCATCATTGCATCTGCTACAACAAGTAAGTCTGGCGGTAAAACTTATAAAGGAGTCCAGCACATATCTGAGGGCCTACATTTGACATGTTTCATCTTTAGTCACTTGACTCGTATTCCCTTTATAATGTGTAACGTATTCACAAATAAGATATGGAAACATTTGAATCATGGATATACAGAACATTATGCAGTTACTTATTAGGATCTGTGCAGCTTAAGCATTGGAAATGTCCGATAGCAGCTTCTGAAAATGAACGTACCAGAAATCTGTTGCAATAAAATGGCGACAGGTAGGCTGAAACTGCACTTGCTAAGCTACGCCGTCATCATTTTATAAAGGATTAACTTCATCGCTTTTTATATCCTACGAGAAAAAAGTCAGTTACGACTATGTAAAATAGAGAAATTAAATAGATAATGTCAGTCAAACAGGCCCATTCAATTAGTCCTTAGGCATTCTTTCTCTGCCCTACCGGCAGTTATTATCCATCTGGAAACGTTGTCCCTTTCCACATATGCGCGGTATCGCTGCAGCGGTTTACCGTGCATTCGATGTATGGCCCGTGTATATGTTTTTTGCTCTGCAGTACAGATAGATTATTTAGCCGGACATCTATGATGTGTGAAATATAGCTAATACCTGCGTAGTAATACGGGGATCAAAAAATTTGCATTCTCTCTCCCCCGTCCCTACAATCCCGAATTTCAACCCCTACAAATGTTTTTCTGAAAATGAAGCTTTGTAGATTTTGAAAATTCGTCCAGTGGCAGCGAAGCTACGGGCAAAAACACGAAAATAATTAATGTCGCTAAAACCTCATTTTTTACGATTCAGAAAATCCTATACTTTTGAATAAAAAATAAGGGTAAAAATGGGAGGTGGGAGGTTGTAGGGGATGGCTGGGGTGTATCGTAATGGTTTGATGTTGGTATATTAATAACCCCGGTAATTCGTACCGATTAGACATATTTCACGCATTACAGATTTTCCTGTATATTTGATCTTAGAGATAAGAGACAGAGAAATGTTTTCGACACTCGAGGCCTTATAAGTGTCTTCGTAGAACTGGTGCTGTGCCACGCTGCCGCGTCTGACGCATCGTTCGATCGAGTATTAGAAAGAGGTTACGGTACTACTGGGTACGACTGGAGCAATGGTATGGACCAGTTTGACGGACTTTATCTATTTAATTTCAGTGTTGTACATATTCGAACATCTTTTTCTGCTGCAGCTCATCATCATGCCGTAGGTTTCGTTTTGGGACAACTAACGAAGGCGTATCAACTCTCTTCTATCCAGGATATAAGGTCTATGGCGACGTCTTATTTCGATGTCGTCTAACTAGTACTGAACATAATCCTTTATGAACTGATGATAGCGCTTTTAAAAAAAAACCGTTTTCAAGTTTCCATTAAAATGAGTTTCTGTAGCTTATCAGATTACGATGCAACAATAGCATCTCAGAATGGTCTGATTGATCAGATACACCGTCAACCAATGAGCTGTATTGAACTAACTTACTGTCAAAAGATCAGACACACCCGATATAATAAAGTGTATCCTTTATATTAGTAGAACCGCATCTTATTTTTTTTAACGCTTAGACCGCTAGAATCAGACACAAACACGAGTTTTGGAGCTCTTCAATAAGCAATTTTGAGTAATCAATTAGTGGGCAGATATTTCAAAATACTAATTACTAGGACAAAAATATGTTAGAAGCTTGTATCATATAGAATAATGGTAAGCACCTCAACACCGTATTTGTTACAACTGATGAGCATTGTGAGGTAGACATATAACAATTATTACTTTATTATACATCTAATGATGCGATAAATCTCCCTGTGGAGCCGTGATCACCGGCATTGCTTTACGGCTCCAATAATCGTGAAATGCGAAGCAAGTTTCTTTCCCATGGTGGCTGTTCTGTATAATTTCGGGACATTATGCATGCTTGTATTCATGCCGCACCGTGTGCGCGAATGTATATGCACCTATTGAGACCAGGTTTCGTTTATGCGGTTCTATGAGATAATATATTGTGGGATTAGAGGTGGTTGGCGTCTCAGCACGTCTGAAAGAAATACTCGTATGGAGAATCTGTATGGCTTGGTACGACAAAGGAGGAAGTAACGGCAAATTGGTGATAAAATCACCCTTCTGTCAAATGGGCTTTAAGAATGGACTCATATATAGTAAGGTGGGTGGACTATGGAAGGCCACGCTAACAAATAAGCAGTTATAATTTCATTGTTTAGTGGATAAATGGAATAAATAAATTATTAAGTGACACTTTGTTCTATTAGGTAATTTACATATTTTTCTTTATTGCGTAAATAATCATTAATTATTTAATTCAAGTTAGATTGAACTCTTGCAAGGAGCAAGACTCCATACAGGTCTAATTTAATAAATCGGTCGTTTAGTTTAAAACTGACGTGACCAATATACCTGCTTATATTACTTGACATAAACTTTATTAATGAAATATTAAATACCTACTCTTTTAGTAATACCAGACATTAACGCTACTATAAAACTAAGAATGTATTCGTAAAAATATCTTCAAAATAATTTAATGAGGCTTATATTGATGTCAAATAAGTTGCCAATAACGTTTATAATTTTGATCGAAAAACAAACAATGACCTTCTTATGAAAGGCCATAATATACTGGTCAGCATTAGAAATGTATGATCAAAAACATTAAAGAGGATAATGGAGTATTTACTTGAAAACTTTAATGTGAGCTAGGATTGTAGTTTTAACGTCGGCGACCGATGTCTACAAAGCGAGAGACGCTTTGACGAAATAATGACGCGAGCGCCTGTATGTCCGATGGATGTATGTATATATAACCACGGCTTTTTACTCGTTTGTTATAATGAAAGCATGGCCTTCCATTGCACACTCACCTTATTCCAAGTGTGTTAAGAAAAAAAGGGAAATTTTCATTTTTTAAAGATATATTTATCTATTAGATGACATTTATGTCGCCGCCTTCAATATAGTCACCATTAGATGTTATGCACTTGTGCCAACTCTTCTTCCAATCCTCGAAACACTTCTCAACCTCGATTATCTGTGCTTGTAAAATGACGGCCCTTTAAGGTTCTCTTTATTTATGGAAATAGGAAAAAGTCGCAGTTTAGGTGTAAAACATATATGTAAAGCGTATACCATGGTAAACGCCAACTAATTTTATTCTGCGACAGTTTTTTTTAATATCCTTTCTCGCACTCCAGTGGTGGAGCATAATGTGCGTTTTGTTCTTTTTAATCAATATTGATATCTTGTTTATTTGGCTCTCTCTGTGTGTACTCTTACTTAAATTTCGTCATCTCTGTTAGATTGTCCTTTTGTGTGGTGGTCAAGCAACACAAGTTCCGACTAACATCTCGGGGAGTTGTGGCTTAATCCGTCCTAAGTCACTGGCGCTCTTATCCCGCCCCTACTTTCCGCTTTATCGAGCTAGGGCCTAAATTTGCACGCCACTATACCACTGTTTTGCTTGAACTAACCGATAGATAGTATTTATCATTGTGTTTTATTAATTAACCAAAAAAAGGGCGTGGCAAACTTTCACGTTTGACCACACATGTCCATCCTTTTTCGTTCTTGGCAGGCCCGGATGCCTCCATTAGGACGATGGTGCCTCAGTTCCGATATCATATCCGTCAAACCATGTTATGTCACATGTTCTTACACGTTTCAGTAATTTTGCGTCGTCGTTGACTTCATTTAATGACTCCTGAGCAACTTTCATTCTCCGCTGTTATAGTTCATCATTCAATAAAAGACGGCGTCAAGTAACTTGATTTTGCACTACCATGCATCACTCTCGTTAGCTCATAGAATACTTTGTTTGACACAAGTTAGTTTCTCTTAGAAAACAAAGGAATTACATTGATCACATCAGTTAAATAGGCATATTAGTCCTGACCCATTTGACAATGTCAGCTTGACCATCTATCAGCGGCCTGTCCTGACTTCGCACTCCATCGTATTTGAATTGTTATAGAATTATATCACATTAGCTCTATTCAGTATCATTTACAAACAAACAGTATGTCTGTGGAGGATATTCCAAATTCAAGAGCCTGTGCCGTATCATGTTCCAGACATGATGCTTTGGCAACATGCGGTCTGGCATTGTCTTGCTGAGAAATTGGGTTTTGGATGGTGTTTACGTATGGGATGAGATGAAGCTCCACTACTTCCTGAATATAGCGTCGGGCTGTCATATTGCCTCTGATGAAAATTAGTCGTGATCTGCTACCATAAACAATAGCACCCCATACCATAACACCCACGGTGTGGTGAACGCTACGCTCTCTGACAAATTGTAGGTCATGTCTTTCACCACGTCGCCTTCTCACTCTTGTTGGAACATCGTGCATCCCCAGACATAAGCGGGATTCGTCACTAAAGACCACCTGATTCCATTCCCGGTCCCATAGAATTCTTTCTCTACACCAGAGCAAACGGTTACGCCGACGTTCAGCTGAGAGAGGTAGCATCCAATGTTGGCGATAAGAAAAAAGGCCAAGCTGTCGTATTCTGCGATATACCATACGCATACCAACCATCCTTCCATGCTCTTCAAACCACTGATTAGCGATGGCTCGAGTACTACTGAATCTTTCTCTCAAAGCCAGAAGCCTTAATCGGCGGTCTTGTCGCTCGGGGGTCCTTCTGGGACGTCCAGAACCCCTCGCTCGCTGTCGTCGACCTTCCTGAGTCCACGCTCGTTCACACTGCAGTATACTGCGTAAGGATCCGTTGGGCCACCTAAAAACTTCTCTTATCGATAGACCGGCTTCACGCAATCCAAAAATTCGAGCCCTCTTAAAGTTACTTAACTGGGACACCCGCCGAATTTTACGCACTCTAGGCATTTTGAGCAATCAAAAAAAGGCTTCCCAATAAGCTACACAAAATTTAACATTCAACTAACACCGTAAATGTGAAAAAATGAATGCTCCTTTATCACCAAACAATACATGCAGCTGCCACAAAAACTTAACAGAAAAACCTGACCATTTTATCACTTGTTGTTCATGGCAAGATACAGGGTTTGTCCTAAAAGTAATAGGACTAAGTCGATTTGAAAAATTGATTGAGCCAATCGCTACAATTCTTTAAAAACCTTCAAAATAGGCTCCTTCTGAGTCGATGCAGCGCTGCCAGCGCGATTTCCAAGCATTGAAGGCATCACGGAAGGCATTCTCCGGAATAGCCTTGAGAGCCGCGGTGCATGCTGCTTGGATCCCCTCTGTCGTCTCAAAATGCTTGCCTTTCATCAGCCTTTTCAGGCGAGGAAACAAAAAAAAGTCCGGGGGGCCACATCTGGGCTGTAGGGCGGCTGCGGAAGCGTTGAGATGCCGGCCTTGGTCAGGTACCTGTTCACAAGAAAGGCGGCGTGAGCCGGGGCGTTGTCGTGCTGCAACTTCCAGTCGGCTGCGATGTCTTGTCGGACCCGACTGACCCTTCGTTTGAGTCTTCTGAGCACTTCCACGTAAAACTTGGCGTTGACGGTTTGTCCAAGAGGAACAAGTTCATGGTGGACGATGCCTTTGATGTCAAAAAAGACAATGAGCATCGTTTTCACTTTGGATATGCTCATTCTTCCCTTTTTTCGGCGAGGAGACGCCGTCGTGTGCCACTCGGAAGATTGCCTCTTTGTCACAAGATCCACGACTCGTCACCTGTGACTACGGTATTCAGAAATTGGGGGTCACTTTCACACATGTTTAAATTTTCTTGGCACACTTCCACTCGCCGCAATTTCTGGTCGTCAGTAAGCACTTTTGTGACCATCTGCGCGCACACCTTGCGCATGTTCAAATGCTGTGCCACAATGTCATGAACCACAGATTTTGGTAAATTTAACACCTGGGCAATTAAACGAATATTTAGTCGACGGTCTGAGTTCAAAACTTTGCGCACACGAGTCACATTATCGGTGTTTGTCGAAGTCGAAGGTCTTCCAGCACGGTCTTCATCAGCGATCTCTTCCCGGCCCTCCAAAAAGGCCTGGTGCCACCGAAACACACCACTTCTTGCTAAATCAACACCTGGGTAGCCTGCTTGATCATATGAAACGTCTCTGTTGCAGATTTACCGAGTTTCACACAGAATTTAATCGCGTACCTCTGCTCTAACGAATGCTGCATTTTCGGCTTGCACCACTCACAGAAACACGTCGCGCGAAAATGCCTGTCCTGACTCTCCAAGTGCTCGGAGATAACTGACCAGCCGCTCATTCGTTAGCTAGGTACGTCCTCTACCGAATCCAGTCGGCGCTCCGAAGTGCAGTCATGGCGGAAGAAGAGTCCTATTACTTTCCGGACGAACCCTGTAAATTGATGTGTAAAAAATGCTTGAATTCTAATAAACATACGTAGGTGTTTACCTTTTTTGTCACTCAGTATATGTAGTGCATAAGGACTAGTCGACCGAGGCGGCGCCGCCCGCTAGCTTTTCCCAGGGTCTCAAATGTCTGCATATTCGCAGACCTAAGCTATGTAATCGGTTTCCCCAAATAAGTTCGAGGGTTGTCCTGCAACTGATTTTATAGGATGAGATTGAACGAATACATGTATGTACCTTTTTTGCGATATACGATTCATACTTTACATGTTAACATGGGAAATTCGCTTTGCACGGGGTATTCACTTTGCCTGGGTTTCTCCTAGTTGCTAATACTATGTTGGCATAAGAGAAGCTGAGATAAACGGACCGACATGGTACAAACAGCTTGTTAAATGAAGAACGTAGATTTCCGCAATAGAGAGGTTACAAACTGTCCAAAAAGCTTTTGTTTCCAACTATAAAATTTATCAGAATCATTGTAGTTTGAGGCAGAGAAACTAGAAAGTACCTATCGCATTATTTTTCACCACACAATATTTACGTAAAATCTACTAGCACCCTTCACTCTCTTGTCTTCTACTGATGGCTTTATCGTCGCGTCCTCTCAGGAACCATCGTTACAAATTTAGGTGAAAGGGAACCCTTAGACTTTATCAGCTTTTTCTTATTTTTTTAGTCAGCCCTCCTACAACAACAGGAATAAGAACCAGAGTGGAGAAAAGTGACGAAGGCGTAAGTCTGGGTCTACCCTGCGTAACTGATCTGCAATGTCGATTGGCTGATGCTGGATCCAAATGTATCGAGGGAGTTTGTGACTGTATCATCAGAACGAACGAAACCAAAGCATGTTCAGCGAGAAGTAGGGGTTGTATACCAGGCACCTTTCAGGTAAAACTCCTTTTTCCTTCAAACGTGGTAAATCTTCGCTGAAATTCAAGCAAAACTAGCTTCGGCCGTCGGCACGCGAATCTTTAGCCGCGGCACGCGCGGCGTTTGGTTGCCGGCTTCAGTTTGTATGCGGTTTCGATAAGGAGTGGTAGTGTTGGGTCAAATAACATATTTCGTATTAACATTATTTTCTTTTTATGAATAATAACGTACAACGTATCTGCGATACACGCAACTATATTATACTCTAACATCTCGAAATCCTACGTACACCACTAACTTCGACAATAGGCAGAACACTACTGCGAAAATTGCAACCGCACGGTAAAGCCGGCACAAAATTCAGCGGCAAGGCAGTCTGAAAGCCGGCGGCAAACCCGGCGGCATGTTTGGATGCACCTTAATAGACCTTTTTTTTTTCGCTGACTTACATTGAAGGTTCACGGGCTGGTTGCAGTTAGGGCCGTATTCACCTCTACTTATCCTTATCTGGTAGTTACATTATCCACATAGCCTTCTCACTCTGTACCAGGCCCATACAAGACCCAGCCTCGAGTACTGCTCACATGTTTGGGGTGCTGGCGCCCCCACTACGTTGTACTCTCCCACTGGTCTAACGGCTGTCTTGGGACCATTCCGCCCCAACCTGCAGTCAGTAATCGGGCTGTCTTCCACCGCTATTTCCCCCATGACGCCGCGCGTTGAGCCTATCAAACGGACTCTATAGGCTTTTGCCCCCCATCCTAACTCTGTCGAACATTTTACATCTAGAACTAGTCAGAACTACCACCCCTTTGTTCCTACGGTGTCGTGTAAATTTACCTGAGTAGCCTTTTCCCAGTTCTGCTTATAGCAGTCGCGGTGCTCGTGTATTTAGGTTTCCGTCTATGCTGCTGCACCAGTATAAAAAAGTGCCACACACCGTACATCTACTGTCAGATAAGATACACTTGGAGATCTTGAAACTGGTATTTAGTCGTGTAAGTAAATGAATTACTTTTGAAGCAGGGTTTTGTTTATTATCAAAGGGTAACTGCTTTCACCTACAGCTTAAGCACGTTAAGTTGACATGCACATCACGTTGTTGTTTTGGTGGTTTCGTGTAAACAGGTAAATAATTTAAATGTCTGGAAGTTCAATTGGACATTTAAATGCAAATGACGGTAATCATTTGTAATCGAATGCCCTGTTTGATTAAAAAGGTTGGGCGTCACCTACTCAATTAATTGTTTAATGGAAATTGATTTTCTGTGGATTTACGTATTAGAGCATTGCGATTCTATCAATAGACGCTGAAGATGCTTTCAGCATTACAAATACTCTCAACAGAAATAGAATGCTGCAACGTTCTCTTCTGAAACCTGTGGCGCGATGTTTTTCCAACTTTGGATTCGTCAAATCTGTAACCTCACATTTTATGGTGAATAGCAATAACTATGGAATAACTTTGACAATTGTTTTCACTTGGTTGTCAGTCTTGATGATGAATGTTCCGAACTGTCAAAGTCATCCCATGGCTGTTGCTATTCAGCATAAAAGTGCTGCACCCAACAGACTAGATTGGATTAGGAACCGTGCCTATATGCTTACATTGCATTATTTGTCACCGAAATTGACTCACTTGACTACCGTTGAATGAACATAATAATAATGCTTACCGGTGGAAGGATCTACCTCCATTAGGATTGAGCTGCTGTTTGCAAATTATGCAAAGCGCACCATGTCCTGAAAAAGTCTAACAATTACTGCAAACATTTCCACGTATAAGAAATAGCACTAAAAATGAAATTTATGACAGAACTGCCAAAAAATTAACTTATGATAAGTCCACTTGTAGTATGCAGTCTCATCCTGACTACAGACTGATATTTTGGAGACAAACAAATCTTCTTGGCTGCATTGCTGGACCGCCTTACATTGTCTGAACGCTCCTATTGATTAGGTCTCTTTTTTACTTTCAATTTAACTGTAAGATAATTCATACTTTTGGAACGACTCGAACAGATCGAGTTGATAGCACTGGTGACAAGGCATGTTACAAAAAACAAAACAGGTGAACGAAATGCAGACATTGGTGTTAAAACGTTGCGAAGCGTTTTGCAATGCCTCGAGGCAATATGAGGCTATCAGAGCAAGAGTGGCCTAAGCCTAAAGGGTTTTGTTTTAATATGATTCTTTTCAATTTTTATAGGAGGTAGTATTTTAAATGTTATTCAAATATTATAGAAAAAACGAAAATCGGCAACAAAATGTGGGTTAGGCCATTTTTGAATTAACGAGAAATTATCAAAATCAGTTCGGTGGGATACGCCATTGCTGAAAAAATGACTGGACAGTCAGGAAAAAACAAACAATTAAAAAAAAATTTATTAGTCTCTTAACAAAAGAAATAATAACTAAGTTTCGCATTCACTTTCATCGATATCAGACTAAATCTCATAGTTTTGATCATGAGTTGTTTTCAGGTTTTTATAGAACTCGTGATGAATAGGGGGAATACAGCATATGAGCGCCAATATGTTCTTTTTTCTTTTTGATATCAACTTTACGTCCTTTTGGATATAACAGATTCAGCTCTTCAAAACTGTTAGTAGAGTTCCTTTAAGACACGTGAACTGACTTGTCACATTGCGTTTCCACTTTTTATTTCTTATGCGGTTTTAAGAATTCTTATGCTGCTCTGCATCATTTTCAGTGTGTTGGGGCTCAGCGCCAAACTCAAGACACATGATGTTTAGCTCCGAGAGAGCCTGAATCTTGAAAAGGTTCATCAGGCTCTTTCTTAGATCCTAAAACAAAAACAAAGTTGTTTACGTTATGCTAAACGATTTTTATCATTTTGATGTTTTTGCTTGCTTTGTAGATTTAATTCAATGCCTACAATAGACAAAAGTACTGTGGAACCTAACCTAAAAACACTTTTCACAATTTTGGAATATTAGACCACTTACCTCTGAATATATTCGATACTTATTGATTGGTATAGTCTTTACAGAACTATATAAACAAAAGCGATCAAAAATCATGTTTTGATTATTCTGGTTTATACCACGTTTATACTAAAATTATAAAGCATCAGTGGCCTATACCACAATTTGTGGCTTAAGCCGGTGCTGCTCTCTAGTTTAAACTTTTTAATGCAATGCAGATTAGGTGATGCCATCGTTAAATGTTGTCACAGGTGGCATAGGCCACTTTTACACTAAAATATACCTTCAGAACTAATTATTTCTGTATCAAACTCAATTTTGCATATTTGTGGCTTAGGCCACTCCGCTCCCATATTTCGAGCAGTGTGCGGTACATGGAGCATATATACGATCGAAGCGAGTACCAGCTCCTGCCCATGACCAGGGTATCTGGGTATCTGAGCTTACAGTATGAGGTCGGTCGCTTGAATCTACAGGCAACCCTGCTGTAATCTGTTCTGGTTTTAATTATCATCCATAAAAAAGTTACATCCAAAAAAAGCAGACACCTGCTGATTCAAGCACCCGGATCTTAAAGTAAATAAAGTGTTAATATGGCAGATCTGTCAGCACAGTGTTGCCAAGTGGATCAGTCAGAATTTCCCCAGAACAAGCAAAAGAATCCCTCAGAATTACTTCATTTTCAAAAAAAAATATTCTTCAAATCTCAGTTAATTAGTGGTTTGAGGATGCTTTCTATTCGTGAAATATATTCTCAAAAATTACCCAAGTAAAAATCCTTCAAATTTAGGTAAACCTCCCCCTGTCATGGCAACCCTGTCAAAGTACCACTGGTACACCAAGCGTAAAGTTTGTTCCCAAATTTTATCCACCATTTCCCAATGCCAATGAATTAAAAAAATATATGCACCATTCAGGTGCAAGTTCAACATTGCTGCACGGCATCTCTGGACAGGTTGATTCAATAATCAGTTACAGTGAAAGAATGTGAGGTCGTACAGTGTTGGTACTACAGGGTCGGCAGGAAGGGTCAAAAGTGGTCTAGTAGCCAGGATTTACCTTCCAACTACTACTACTAGAGGTTGTCAAATCATCGAGGTGGCATCGATCAGGCACTACTAGGACTTCTTTAGGATATACAAAGCGACATCAGGAACAGAACCAAGAATATGACACATTTACATCATATTGATAGAAGTGTGGCCTAAATTTAACACTATGTAGGTAGTTGTAGCAATTTAGCGAATAAGATAGAATCAGTTTGGTCCTGCATCCCTGTATTTACAATACACTAACCTGTAAAACGTTATGGCTGACCATTTTCAGAAATCCACAGCACATCGCCTACAAGGCATGGCAAGGTTACAATACACTATGTTTATTTACAATACCACACACAAAATAATGATGAAAGTAGTATACGAATCAGAAATGATACCAGAAAAACCTGGCTAAGTTATACGAGATATAAGCGTATGTCACCTTGACAGATTTGTATGATAAAAACATTGGTCTGACCCCGTGTCCAACGACGTTTTGACCCTAGAGATTCCATATTGATGGTCCAAGCACTCATCATAACTTGCACTCGCAAACAGATATGTACTTATTGATATTGCTGTTGTTTACAGTGTCGCAACACTGGCACCTGCATAAGCTGGTTCTTTGTTTGCGATGGTAGAAAAGATTGCGGCGACGCTTCCGATGAAGACTGCAAACCGTTCAGTTGTCCTCCAGAAGCCTTTATGTAAGTAGACGTAGCCTCATAATGATCTTTACTGTTAGGAGCTTTCTGTTGTAAGTGTCTACTAACGGATTAACTCAAATCCGTCTCCTTTCGAACTTCGCCATTGATTCTAGGTTTATATATTAGCTTCCCCATTTAAAAAAACTGCCTTAATTTATAGTCCGTAGTATTATGAGTTTCATTGTGTCAAAAGGGAAGTGTTAAGAATAAACATGATCGACTAGATTTATATATACAATGTGTTTGGTCACGACATACCGATATTTAAGAGGGGTATTTTTCATCTATTTTTATCGACAAATCCACCCCCTTACAATATCCTACCTCACCCCTCTTGAAATGGCATCCATTCTTATTTTTACGTTACGATTACGCTAGTGCATGTATGAAAATTGTAATAACTGAGTACATAAGTGTCACAGAACGATAAATTTGGTGTCAGTTGAACATTAGCATGTTGTTCTAGCGATTGTTGGAAAAGTTGTATTGATACTAACCGTCAAACATACTTAAAAACAGACAAAAGCAGAAAAAATATTCCAGAAAATTTATTGTTTTCTCCATTTCCGCACACCATTCAAAAACTAGTTTGTGAAGTTGTACTTTTTTGTGCTAACAGCTATGTTATCTACAAAATGACATCAAATTTGTTATCCTGGGTCTTCTACGTTAAGAAATAAATGCTATCTAACATGGGTCAAAGTATACATAAAAATGACAAATCAAAGTTTCTTCTTCAATAGTTCAATGTCACAAAAAAATCTATGGACGGACGAAACAACATTTACGAGGCAAGGAATCATAAACCATATAAACGACCACTTGTGGTCTTCGGAAGCCGCTCATGCAGTTCGACTGAGCACTTTCCAACTGGAATTTGATGTAAACATGTGGGCCCGAATGATCGACGGAGTTTTAGTCGGCCCAGTTTTCAGATCTACGCCACTTATCAACCGCCGCACGCTTTTGCGCTAGAACATATTTGGATAGGCAACATTCTCAATGGATAAGACGTGGAGGCACTGTCGCTTGGCCACACCGATCACCCGATTTAACGCCCCTAGATTATTTTTTCTGGGACACAATGAAGCGAAAAGTCTACTGTCATGTGTCGACGACACGGGAAGAGCTCGTGGAAAGGATCCATACCGCTGCGAACGAAATTAGAGCTGACACGGATATAACCCGCTGCTCAACACGACACATTGTTTTAAGAACTACAATGTGCATAACCAATAATGGAGGGCATTTTGAACAGCTTCTGTAACATTAAACCTGTCCAAACTATTTATAAGAAACTTTGATTTCTCATTTTTATGAATACTTTGACCCATGTTAGATAGCATTTATTACTTAACGTAGAAGAAATTTGGTGTCATTTTGTAGATAACATAGCTAGCTGTAGAATTAGCACAAAAAAGTACAACTTCACAAACTAGTTTTTGAATGCTGTGCGGAAATGCACAAAATTATCATTTTTCTTGCATATTTTTTTCTGTTTTTGTCTGTTTTTAAGTATGTTTGACGGTTAGTATCAATACAAGTTTTTCAATAATCGCTAGAACAACATGCTATCGTTCAAATGACACCAAATTTATCATTCTGTGACTCTTATGTTCTCAGTTATTACAATTTTCATACACACAATAGCGTAATCGTAACGTAAAAATAAAAATGGCTGCCATTTCAAGGGGGTGAGGTAGGACACTGTAGGGGAGTGGATTTGTCGATAAAAATAGCTGAAAAATACCCCCCTTAAATATCGGTATATCGTGACCAAACACATTGTATAATGGAACAAAAATTTCTTCTAGGTAAATTTGCTGTGAGCATTTTGAGGCCATTCTTTTTCAACATATCAAACGATACCTTTTGTTATCCGTCAAGAAATATTTTATCCACTAAAGCTTTACTGATTTCGCACACAGTTTCTGGTAACTCGCTGTGCTTCTCCCAGGGGTGATAAGACACCTAAAATTTTTATGATTTTCAATCATCCGGAATTGAGCATTCGATTCTAAGCGATAAAGAACTAAGTAACGAGAATTAAATTAATCGTTGTAGCTTATACCTCGATTAAAAATACAATATACAATAAAATACAATACAATAATTCTAAAAGAAGCTGCAAAAATGCTACACACAATAAAAAAGCACATATTCCCAAAAACAAAATAGTTCTTGTTATGATTATATAAATTGAGCGTATAAATTGCTTCAAGAACAGGCCTGCATAGTCAGCTTCGAAAATGGTATAAAACATCAACATAACAGCGATCCATTCCTAAGAAACATCCAATCAAACCGATTTAGCTCAAAAAGTTATCCATCAACTAATTGATATAAGTATTTCAAATTCACAAGTCTCGATGAAAACGAACCTTTCAGATGCCTGCATCCACATTTTAGCTCCTGCTTTTCTCACATTTGACGCCACAGAAATCCCTCCCTGTAGCCTGATCGAGTTACCTGTTTTCAATATGCAGCTCCTTAATAGCTCCAAAAACGTAGAGAAATCGGAGATTGGAAAATGCGATATTGACATGTCTCATGTGCGTCAAGTGACTCTACAGAACTATTCAAGATGATATCGTCATATTGCAGAATTTTCAGCTTCTGTAGAGCTAAAACGTGCTACATATCCAAAACACGTGCCACGGGCAGTTAGAAAACTTCATATGATTTGTTATACCTCCCTGAAGTATAGGAAATAAGACAAAACAGCTTTTACCGCAGGTGACAAAAGCAGGAGGTAGAAACTGATTGCTGACATAGGTATAATTATTTATTCTCTACTAACAGGCTTGTATTGAGAGAGATTCTTGAAAAACAAATACATTCATTTGGAATAGTTAGCGAGGTTAACAATTAGTCATTTCAATTAAATCTCTATCAGTTCAGTTGTCTATTTGTTGATAATTAAGCATTTCCATACTGTTACTAGGGGAGCCCGTTGAGGCATTTTGGGGATTTACTCGAGTACGGCAAACTAGGTTAAGGAGCGACACCTTGCATCCTGTTTAGTGCCTCCGCCATAAAAAGTGCTAGCTAAAGATAGGCTGTAATTACAAGGGAGTAATCTCGAACCTAATTTGTGTAGAAAAGTTCGTATAAACATATGTCCTTAAAGGTCTGGTTTTCAAGATAAAGGTTATAAAAGTTTCAAAAAATGATCGACTTCTATTAATATACTACTAGTCAGGTTAACATATTTTTCAATAACATTCATGAAAATGAGATTATTGCTGCATCTAAAAAACTCAAGAATAGAGTAACGGCCGGCCCAGACAACATCCCTTCGTTCATAGTCAAAGATTGTGCTCATGTCTTTGTTAAGCCGTTATTAAAAATATACAATCTGACTATAGAAACCAGAACATTCCCTGATATTTGGAAACTTTCTAGAGCGACACTTATTTTTAAATCAGGGGATAATATTGATATTAAAAACTATAGAGCGGTGGCAATATTGTCAAATTTCTCCAAATTGCTGAAGATAACATTGCATAATAGAATTTACTCCGCAGTTCATAGATCTCTGTCCCCTTTCCAGCATGGTTTTCTTACTAAGATAACCACAATAACTAATTTAACAGTTTTCACTCAGTTCGCTCGGCAAGGTCAACTAGATGTAGTATATACCGATTTTGCTAAAGCGTTCGATAGGGTGGACCATGGCATACTTTTGAATAAACTTTTTATCATGGATTCCATTCATCAGCTTTAGCACTCATTCAAAGTTATCTTCATGAAAGGAGGCAATATGTTACTTTTAATGGGTTCAAGTCGTACCAGTATATAACTAAATCGGGAGTGCCTCCGGGTTCAAATCTTGGTCCTTTATTGTTTACTTTATTTATTGATGATGTTGTGCATTATCTAAGTTGTAAAAAGCTGCTCTTTGCGGATGATTTAAAATTATTCAGGATTATTGAGTCTGAGACTGATTGTATTGCACTTCAGCGTGATATTGATTCTCTAGTGGCTTGGTGTGACGAGAATAATTTATTTCTTAATGCGCCTAAGTGTAGTGTATTCAGCTTTTCCAGAAAAACTTCTTCTTGTAAATTTAATTATAAAATTGGGGACGCTTACATAAATCGTTATAACTCCATTGAGGATTTGGGTGTAGTTTTTGACCATAAGCTTAATTTTTCACTCCACTTAGCTCAAAAGGAGAGTGAAGCTTCGCGGGCGTACGGTTTTATTGTGAGAAACTGTAGAAGCTTTAGCCGCCCAGAGTCACTGTTGGTTGTGTATTCTGTATATATTAGAACGAAATTGGAATATGCATCGTTAATTTGGAAGCCAATTTACAACTGCTACATTGATTCTCTTGAGCATGTTCAGAGAAAGTTTCAAACATTTTTATCTTTTAAAGTTGACAGTATATATCGTGAACGTGGTATATCTGAAAGTTTGTTTATGTCTAGGTTTCAAGTGCAATCTTTAGAACTGAGAAGGAAGAGTGCATCAATTATGTTCTTAGATAAACTACTGCACAATCAAATTGATGCTAATGAGATTGTGGCTCAAATAAACTTTAATGTTCCATCTATTCAAACTCGTACAGCTAAAACATTTTATTGCGACAGGGCTCGCACAAATTTGTTTTTGAAGGCACCCATTTATGTGATGTGTGAAACATTCAATCCAATATCAAATTATTGTGATATACATGCTGACAGTTTGAACAGCATTCTGGGAGTAGCTAGAAATTGCTTGGATAATTTATATGTTACTCACCTGAGTGAAATATGTTTTTTTGCTTCTTTTTCTTGTTTCTTTTTTCTTAGCTGTTCTCTGTTCTTGTTATTTTGATTTAACTTAGGATTGTCCTGTAAATGGTTTCCTTAACTGTTGGGCAATAAATGCTATTATTATTTATTATTATTTATTTATAATATCTCAAAGATCCTTGTGCCGATTGTTGGCAGTATTCTTCACTGCAATAAGTGTAAGCTGCTGACTTTTGAAAACTATATGTCTCTCGGATTAGGCCGCTAATGATACATTTTCTTTGTCTCTTGGTAACGCGTCGTATCTTATTTTGTTTGTGAGGAAACAAATCAACTTTGGTCGTTGCTAAGGAACCTGGTTCTGCTATTATTTTTTTTTTGTCGAAAGCCACTTTTGAAACTCTTTAAGACACATGTTTATATAAACTTTTCTACCTTGTAATTACAGCCTGCTCGCTGCATATTAGCCTTTTATACAAGGGGGTATGTCATAGTAGTAAAAAAATCGATAGTTACAAATACACGTGAACGTCAGACTGAAATAAGGCGGGTAATTTACATGCTGAAAAGCGTGTATTACACTAATCTAGCAATTTGAGTATGATGTAGGGAAGTGGCCACAGACATGTAAAAAAACTTTATAACGAATGAAGATCACGACATGCGGTTTTCATTGCCATTGAATTTGATATCTCCGAAAAAAACGGCACCCAACAACAAATTATCTTGGCACTTTTGTCGTAAAAGTTTTTAACTAACCGATAGCTCTAGGTTGACCGGTTGCCAAGATACAGCCGACGTGCTTTATTAATGACCCACTCGGTACAAATCGGGCAGATCATCACACCTTCAATATCGTGACACACATATATTATATACAATATCAATATCTGACTTGCTCGAGCATTTTATGTAAGTATTTTTTTACAGTTTTGACCACCACTATGACATACATACTATGTTTTTTCTTTCTGCGATCTAATTTTTAAAGCCCAATAGGTCCCTACGACGCTCGAGTAACAACCCATTTAGCCTTTTGGGTTCCCCTACTAAGTCCTCTTATACCTTTTGGAAAACCTATGATACGGGCAAGTTTTTCTAGCAGATCACACGCTGAATGTACCAGCAATTTTTAGAGCTAGACATAGCCGCGTTCCAAGAAAAACTTAAAACCAAGACTATTTAGTTTTTTAAAAAAGCTGCTATTTGTTGTTTACTATGTTAGTACCGTTTATGATTGTCTCGGCTTGATTTAAGAATAAAAACGAATTATCATCTCTATTTGAAACATTTATTTATTATTAGATTATCTTAGAGATGACCTCTTTGGCTTACATATAAACAATAAAAAACAAAAGTAATCAAACTCTTACGCACTTCTTACATATTTTTAGGTTCATTACAATTTTGCAAAATCGAAAAAATTAAAAAATCTTGAAAATGATTTAGGTTGAAATTTGTTGAGCTTAAGTTCAGTTATCACACCCCGGAAGGAATACGATGAAATACCTGCAACTCTATACATACATTTTAGGTGCCACAAATCTGGCAAATGCATCTCAAGAGCTGGCCGCTGCGACGGCCCCGTCGACTGTCCGGACGGCGAGGACGAGGCCGGCTGTCAAAGTGACAGCAGGCACGGCTGCCCGCCGCACACTTTCCGATGCGCTGATGGCAAGTGCCTGCCCGAGTATGAGTTCTGCAATGCGATCGTGGGGTGCAGCGATGGTAGTGACGAGCCCCCGCATGTGTGCAAGGGAAGGGCGAGACGCAGAAGAGCTGAGTACTGTCCGCTTAGGTGCGGCAATGGAAGGCGAGTTGAATTTTCTAGCTTTATTTATATGACATCCTAGAAGAAACACTACACAGTCGAAAATAAATGTAATAGTGAAGTCTTTCATGTAATATTTTTTGAAACCGGAGTTACAGTGTTAAAGTGCAATCGAATGAAGTTTAATTTTTTAAATGGAGCACACTGTATATTTTTATTGAAACGATAGTCCCTTTTTCTGGTTGAAAATATCAGGGTGTCCCAAAAGTCATAGAACAAACGAAAGGTGGAGATACGAGGGGCCATTTGCAATCAGAAAAACTATATATATGTTCTTATCCGATTGTGTACGGTTTTGAGTTATTGAGATTATTAAGAAATTGTGGATAATTGATACTCTTAAGACTGTACTATTTTTTTTCTGAAGCTGTCTTTTGCTATTTTTCAATCAGATTTACAGGATATGCTCCTAAATGAGGTGTCGCTGGGAAAAAGTTATGAGTTAATGCGGATACTGCAATCGGGTAATCTACAATTTTGTCTGTAGTTAAAAAAACTTCTCGATACTCTCACCTTTGTGTAAAGTAGACAAAATGCTGAAGATACCCAAAATCCCGAATTTCCTATTTTTAAATTTAGCCCTTTAACTGAATTTGTGGATCTTCTTCCCTCCAAATACGATGAGCAAACAGTTATGTAACAATTATTACTCTCCATACCTGAATGAATTCTAAGTCTATCATTCCAAAGGGTGGCTGGCGGCCTTAACATTATTTTGGGTGTTAAAACCAGTATTGAAACAGTGCATCATTACCTGTAAGCCCAGCTATCAGCGTTATGTAATTCAAATAGAAGACAGTAAATCGTTGAAAGATATTATTAGGTCCAATCTATGTGATGTTTGTGTTTTATTCTGTCTATATCCTAGGAGTAATTCTTTTTTATTCAAAAAATATGATGCGGTCCTGAAAAGAGCTTTCATTAGGCTATATTTACATGACATGTTCGAAGTGACTTCCTTCTGATCTAATGCAAGCTCTGCATTGTCATAGAAAATCTTGCGGTGGTTACTATGGAGGCTGTTGTTCACAGCAGCAATCCATTCTGTTAAAACTTGCATTCGTGTTCTTCTAAAATAAGCTTCGTCAGTCCATATGATTTTCATGAAGAACTGGGAGTCATTTTTGTATTCTTCAAGTATTCTCCTGCAAAACAGGACTCTCTTTTGGTAGTCCTCTGGAAGACGAATCTCTACACGTTGAATGTGAAACGGGTGTATCCGTTTTCTGTGCAGAATTCGGTGTTCTGTCGACCCAGTTACACCAGCATTCCTCACGCTGTTAAAAGACTGATTTTCGGTTAGCGTTGCTACCATATTTTCAGCACCTACGTTGATTCTCGGCCTTCCTGTCTTTCATGGTCTGTTAGGCATTTCTCCTGCTACATAGGCGCTATGTACTCGAAGAGATGTACGATGATATGGAAGGTTTGCTCTACGGAAATATCGGTTTCCATATTCTTGGGCAGCACGTCGACCATTTCCATTGCACAATCCATAAATGAAATGCATTTCTGCATCTTCTTGTGACGAGTATAGCATCTTGCATCGAGTATCATAAGTGAAATGAGTACGGTATTATCCACGCATTCCTTTTGTAGTACTCGTGTTGGTTTATATAATCGACTGATTTTATTAACCTAGTGGTCAGGTAAAATGACAGGATTTCCATAACCCTTCTGTTACACAAAATCATGTTACGGCCACTGTAGGTTGTTTCCCCATCATATACAGTAGCAGGAAGATCACGAACGGCAGTTAAAGAGTTAGCTTAAGAAATCGGAATTTCCTGAATTTGGTCTACATCGTCAAGAAACTATTTAGAATATTTGATTACATAATAGGTTTATTAGAACAGAGAAGTTTTTCGTGATTATGGACCCTTCGTCCGCTTACTAATTTTTTGTACAGGTCTCGTTGGATATGCTGTAATCTTGTTAACAGCAGACAAAATTGCAGATTAGCTGATTTTTGTTCCTACATTAACTTGTCTAAATTTTCACTCATAGCTTCGTTATAGCGACACATCATTAATTTGAGAATATTTCTGTGATTGCTCAAAATGCCTAGATTGCGTAAAATTCGCCGGGTGTCTCAGCTAAGTGACTTTGAGAGAGGTCGAATTGTCGGGTTGCGTCAAGCCGGTCTATCGATAAGAGAAGTTTCTAGGACGTAGTATTCTATAGTGTGAACGAGCGTGGGCCCAGGAAGGCCGAGGATAGCGAGCGAGGGGTCTGGACGACTGAGCGACACGACCACCGGTTAAGACTTCTGGCTCTGAGAGACAGATTCAGGTAGTACTCGAGCCATCGCTAGCCAGTGGTTTGAAGAGCATGGATGGATGGTTAACATTTCTCCGAACACAACAGTTTGGCCTTTTTTCTTATCGCCCACATTGGCTCCTACCTTTCTCAGCTGAACATCGGCAGTAACCGTTGGCTCTGGTGCTTCTGTCTGGAATACACGATGGTAGGGAAGGAGTGAGAAGGCGTCGTGGTGAAGCCGTGACCCACAATTTGGCAGAGAGCGCCCCGTTCACCACGCCGCGCCATGGGAGTTATGGTATGGGGTGCTATTGCTTCTTGTAGCAGATCACCACTAATTTTCAGTCAGAGGCAATATGACAGCCCGACTGCTATATTTAGGAAGTAATGGAACCTCATCTTATTCCATAATTAAACACCAACCAAAAGCCGATTTTTCAGCAAGACAATGCCAGACCGCATGTTGCCAGAACATCGTTAGCCTTCCTGAATCAACATCGTATCAACCATTTACCTTGGCCGACACCACATGATAGGGCGCCGGCTCTTGAATTTGCAATACCCTCCACAGGCTTTGGAAGCTCTTACTCACGAAGTTACAGTAGCCTGGAATGAGATACCCCAACAGAATATTGACCACCTTATCAGCACGATGCCCAGGCGTATCAATGAATGTATAAGCAGTCGTGGATCCGCAACACATTATTGAACCAGCTTCTGCGGTCAGTTGACGAATCAAGCTGAAAATTTAATCATTTGACTAGTAAGGGACACTGAACATATATGCCAAAAATTATTAAAATCGGATAAACAAACGCAGGTGTTTACCTTTTTTTGTCACTCAGTGGATATGGATTTTCTGATTACAAATGCCCCTCCTATCACTTCCTTCCGTTTGCTCCGTGACTTTTGGGACGCTTTGCATTTGGTTTGTTAAACTTAGTTTCATTACCTTCGACACTACTAAATTGCATTCGCAGCTAGATGCAAACTGGTTTAAGCAGTATGATGTAGATTGCATTGACAATGTTTGAAATCAGATACTTTATGCTGCTTCGCCAACCATAGACGATGGGCAATTATATTATGGATTTTTATGAAAATAATCAATGGGAACGGTTCACAGCAGTTCAGTAAAATAGCAACTTAACTAATCTAGAAAAATTCTGGGCTTAAATTGACAGTATATCATAACACAACTGAGCTAACGTAAAGCAGTCCAGCGGTGCAACGCTTTTAGCAGGAGCGTTGTCAGTTTGTTATCACTTTTCACTTGGCTGAGAGAATGGATAGCTTGTTAATAAAACGCTGCGAACTGTCGATGCTGTACCTCTTTCAGTTACCCAAAATGTACTCATCGTTAAGTGAATAACAGCTCACTTTGGAACATGGATATAGAATATAATGTTTTTTTCAGGTGTCGATCTAGTGCAATAGCTTGCTCAGGAAGAGATGGATGTGGAGATGGTACAGACGAAAATCATTGTTCAGTTTGCAGTAAGTACCAATTTCTCTGAGACTCATCGCCTTTTTTATGGCTATGTTACGGGCAAAGTAGATATTGAACGTTGACGTAAATGACCGGACATGGCTGTGAATGCGTACTGAGTAATACTGATAAATGTAAGGATGAACAGCTGAAAAGTGCCAACGGTACTTCCAGTAACAAAAAAACGATCAGGACAAAACAAATTTCATTAAATCCTGATCTTGAAGTCTTTGCGTCTTAAATATCAGCAATATGGTTGATATATTCTCAAGGATAAAAAATGATTTTTTTTTCATATCGAAGCAGCCGCGCAGGCAGAAGCGTAATGTCGGAACACGCGGCTGCTATGATGATCCCAAAGAAATTTTGTTAATAGGTTAGTTGAACTGGAAAACGCTTGGTCTTGTAGATTGTTCCACAATCTCGACACCCTGGGAATAAAGGAGCGGTCGTGTCGGCCAGTTCTGGATGTACGGGTCTGCCTGGCAGGCACAATGCGCGACGGCATCATGGAAGGGAGCTCTGAGGTTGGTGTAGCGGTAGAAAAGAGCTAGATCGCCGACGGTCCGCCGGTGAGAAAGAGTCCCGAGACTGTCTGTTAGAGAAGAGTCATCAATCAGTCGGACCGCCCTCCACTGGACAGCATCGAGCATAAATACTGTAGTCTGTATAGAGTGAGAAGGTCATGCGAAGACAAGTACTTCTTAGCCCTAAACAAATATCGTAGCCTTTTCCGAGCAGTTGCCGCAATTGACGAGATGTGTTCGTGCCAGATCAGGTCCTCGGTGATCTGGACTCCGACCAGCCGAACTCGATCATTCATCGAAACCGGATGAGCGCTAGGACGCTTTTTGTTCGACAAAGTACAGCAAGTAATGTGTTTTGGAAGCATTAACCTGTACAAGATTGTTGCGTCCCGAAGCAGTGATAGCCTCCAGGTCTCTTGTCAGAGAGGAAGTCGTCGCTGATCTTCTTTTTTCCAGCTCAGCGGCAGAGACCGGCTTGTCACTCTGAATTCTTGGATGTAGAATGCTGTCATCAGCGAAGCTGTGGATTGGGTTGATCGTGCAGGAAAGGAGGTCGTTGATATGTAAGAGAAACTGTGTCGGAGCCAAGTCCGATTACTGGGGAACACCCGCGTTGACGCTGTGTGATGAAGAGGAGAAGCCGTAAATTATGATGAATATCTTGAGGCCCGGGATAAAGCCGCCTTCGTGATGTCAAGAACAAGGACATGAGTCCCACCATAAGACCGGATAAGTTTACTCCACAATTGCGTGATGTAGGCTAGCAGGTTCCCTGTGGATCGTTGGTGCCGGAAACTATACTGCCTGTCGCCAATCAAGCTGTGACGTTCGAGGTAGTCCAGAAGCTCGCGATTTTTGCACCTCTCCATCACATTACTTATAACAGAACGCAGAGCTATACGCCTGTAGTTGTGAGGCTCGGTCTTATATCCTTTTTTTGGGATGGGTTGGACATGAGCAAATTTCCAGTTTTCTGGGAAGTTGCCGGATTCATAAGATATCTGGAAGAGACGCGAAAGAACTGGAGCAAGCTCCGCTGCACACCTCTTCAGTACAATGGCAGGAATCAAGTCCAGACTAGAAGCTTTCTTGATGTCGAACGACAAGAGCACCCGTCTTACGGTCTTATGCCTGAATGTTACCTCCCGGATAATGTAGGGAAGCCTTTGAATTGACGGCACTTGGGCGTTGGGGGGGACGTCCATGGTGGAATTGTCAGCAAAGATCTTGGCAAGCACTTCCGCCTTGGCCTTTGAGTCGGAACAATCGTTGCATCCTCACAGGTAGGTGGTGGGAGGCTATTGTTTGAGAAGCTCTTTTCAATCTGCTTGGCCAGCGTCCAGAAAGACCGACTGCCATTGCGCTGCGACATTAACTTGTGTCTAACTTTTATATCGTGCTGGTTTTTGGCATTGCGATCCGCTTCGATATATTTGTTTCTGGACTTTAGGTCGGCTTGTCTGTTCTCTATAGTGGGGTTTTGTAAGATGATTTGTTGTCGCTGCATTTAGTTTGAAGTTTGGTACAAGGGAACATGCCTTGACGTATGTATGCGTACGAAATGTTAAATAAAAAACAGAAAACTTATCGCTTCGCCAACAAACAAGAAGAATGGAATAAACAGAACAAAGAAAAGTATGTGGTTTGAACAATCGCCATTGTTTGTAACAGCTACACTGCTTGTGGATGAGGAATCCATAATGGATAGCTCGTATCGTGAGTCCACCTTCCTATTTTTTGTATTACCATTTCTGAGTGTTTTTGTTTGTGCATTTACGAGCTCTTTTTGTTTCAGGATGTCCGGTTGTACAAGGTCGAAATTTATAGTCATCTGCGCGCAACTCTGAATTTTGTACAATGCCAAAAATTTTGTAAATTGTTTTTATATAAAAACCTTCTGTTTGTCACAGTATGAATAGACTTTAGTATTGTACCTATTTATGATATCTAGAATTCGTTAAGTTAGTTTTTGTAATGCTCAAAAGTATTTTATAAATAGTTTATTTATTTAGTTTAAGGAAATATTTATATGATCAATGTAAAAATAAATGTCCTAGCTTAAGGTGTAATAATAAATTAGAAATTCCAAAACTTGCGAGTATCTCAATGTGATAATACCAACCACCTAAGCTGCTCTAATTACATGTATAAATTTCGTGTATATGACAAGCAGTATTGCCTGCAACCTGGCCTAATTCCTAAAAGGAAGCAATTTTACAAAAGTTGCCCAAATATGAGGACTGGTCATCCCCAATGATTTTTCAGAAACCTGAACTTGGCGATGAAGAAATTGACGCATAAATGCTGTTTTAGTATCATAGTGACAGCTTACAGACACATTAAATTTGTTTGTTTGTTTGTTGAAGATTTATTTAGCACTAATGCTACAAAGCCAATTTTGTATAATTATTCGCTTACATATTTTTCTTGAATCCATTTTCTGTAATTTTACATTCTTGTCTATTAAAATAAATTTATATTCTTATGCATTTTGAGTACTCATAAAGTTATTTTTTAGTTTCACCTTGAACATTTCTAAATTCGGATACCGTCTAATATCATTGCTGAATTTATTAAATTCAAATACTCCCTTTTGAAATACAGATTTGCTAGTTATGCTATTACAATTTTGCAGATAAAAATCTATACTGCCTCTAGTTTCGTAGTTATGATAACTATTTAATTTTCTGAAGTTTTCTAAATGTGGTGGTGATAAATGATTTTTTTAATTTGAATATGAAAATTGGTACTAATAACATATTAAACTGTAAGATAGACTTAATTCCAGCATATCTGATTTTATTTAAAATGATTCTCTTAGCTTCATTTTGTATAATTTGTAATTTTGAAAATATGTTTCCATTTGCTGCAAACAAGATGGTTGAACAATATAAAAAATGGGTTAGAATTCTAGTGTTATACACATTTTTACAAGATGGGAAAGTCTATAGAAGTAATTTATCTTTTGGATATTTTTCAAATAATATATGAATAAGGCTCGTGAAACACATACATATATATATAATATACCCAGATATTTAAATGATTTGACTACTTCAATATTTTCATTATTAATCATGGGTTATTAACATTTAACCAATCCATATTTTTCTTAATATCACTATTTAACAGCTCTAAAGCAGTGTCCAAACGCTTATGTGCTATATATACATATATCAATTTATCTTCCGCAAATATTTGAATTTTGCAGAGTTCTAAAATATCAGAGATATCATTTATATAAATATTAAATAGTTACGGCCTTAATTTGCTCCCTTGTGGCACCTTACTGATATATTTTCAATGCATGACATAATATTTCCAACTTTAGTTTTTTGACTTCTACTTACTACATAATTTTGTAAAATGTTTAATACTGATCTTTTAAAACCATAGTGATGCGTGCATTAACAGTTTCTCCCTATCTATAGTCTCAAATGCCCCTTTGAATTTAAAAAATACTGTTCCAGTACATTGTTTCTCATCTATACTTCTTCTAAAATCTTCCACCACCATTTGGCTGTTTTAAAACAGTTTTTTCCTAAATCCAGCTTGATATTTTGTCAAAAATTTGTTTTTCCAATGAATCTAATGATTTGTTTATATAATATCCTATCGAACATCATATTTGTATACAGCTCAGAATGTTGAACTTTTGGCACAGGAGTAAGTGTACTAAGCAATGATTCACCAATAATAATAATTTCTCTCCAATTATATTGAAACAGTCAGTTAGAATCTTTTTTGAGAGATTCCCACTTGGATTTCTATTAGATTTCAGTTCTGATACAGCTTTTCTTAGATTGTTGATGTTAATTGTCCTAAATTGATTCATTGATGAATAATTATGATATACTTACGTACATAAGTTTAGACCACCGTCTTCACTATTTAATTTACACTGTCTATAGAATGGAAAATAATACAAATTCCTCTCTTCTCCACAATGGCGGAGTGCTATTAAAGTTAATAATTTTAGTACACTGAACTAAATATCATTGATACTGAATGTTATATGAATCTACTTCTTTTGAACAGGGCATTCCATTCATGGAGCATATATAAAATCGGTTGACTTAATCTAACTTAACTAGCCAACTTAACTGAACCTAACCTAATACATGGGCAATGCTCCATTTACCACATGATAGGTTAGATTATGCCAACTTTAAGCAAGCTAAGTTAGGTTAAGTGACGTCATGACTTCGACATTACGAAATAAAAAAAAACATTTCTTTATTATTTCTATGTTAAACTCTCTTAAATAAATACAATACATTGAGCAAACTCCTTAATGTTCAATGAAGTTTTACCCTATTCGTAGTCCATTTCCGCCCCGGCACATTAAGATGCAGCGCGGCAAAGCGGCAGCCGCCTAAGCCTTGCAGTAGCTATTGGTCATTCAGCCATAAAACTATGAAGTGCAGGATTCGACAAGATAGAACTCAGGCTCGGGATATCGCCGGCTCGCTGACGCCTACACTTGCTGTTCATATTCGGTGCATGTGTTTATACCTTAGCATGTCGTCTACGGATACAGTAGATGAAATTGAGAATATCTCTCCAAATCCTTCCTTCAGCCATGCTTCCTCTTCAGTGATGTCTCCTCCCCGAAAACCTGACAAGAAGGGACATTTGAATATTCAGGCAAAAGTAATTGTCCTTAACGTTTATAAGAGCAAAATTTTAGAACATCCTGGACTAAAAATTCTTGATATTGAAAGATTTGTGGCGAACAAAACAGGCTTATGTCCTAAAACAATAAAAAAAATGTCTCCACCACACAAGAGGTTGCATTACATGAAGCTGATGGATACAGTTGATAACTTTGATCGGAATGCCATCAGACGCAAAGTCTATACATTTTTTGAAAGACAGGAGCTTCCTACTAGAGACAAAGTATTACATGAGGTTAATAGTGATGAAGACTTACCTACTTTCAAAAGGACCACATTCTATAGTGGACTCAAAGAACTTCATTTTGAGTATAGAAAACGGGGTATAAATAGTATTTTGATGGACAGAAGAGAAATTATTTTATGGAGAAGAAATTATTTAAAATCAATAAAGAAATACCACGACCAGGACAGGAAGATTTATTACTTGGATGAAACCCAGATAAATGCAGGACATACAAAACCTAAGGTATGGGCTGCCTCTACAATTAAATCAGCATGACAAGCCTTCTTACATGGACTAACCACTAGCCTGAAGAATCCGCCAGGTACATATATCTAAACAATCCATCATTTGTGTAAAAATGGTGCCAAGTAGACTGAATCTATGAGCCAACGCTAAAGACTTAGCTACCCTAAACTTAGCTATACCTGGTAGATTTGGAACCAACACCTGTTAGATAGATACTTTGCTTGTATTATTATGAGTTTTCTTGAATATTATATGAGATAATTATTTCCAGGACAAAGAAAACGATTTTTTCTCTATCACATTGGCAGTGAAGATTTCTTTGTGCCCACTGCCCTATGGGCATTTGAGTCGAAGACCGACTACCATGAATAAATGGACGGGAGCTGATTTGAACGATGGTTTGAAGAAACGCTCCCAAAGCTTGAAGACAATGCCGTCATTGTACTTGATAGTGCTGCATACCACAAGAAAAGCAAAAATTCACAATGGCTTCTCAAAAAACATTAGTTTCAATGGAAGTATGGTCAAAGCAGAACTTATCCATCTAGTCACACAGCACAAATATAAATATAATCTTAATGTTACTGACGAAATGGCTAAAAACCAAAATAAGACCATTTTAAGGCGACCCCCTTATCACTGCGGCGTATTAAATCCCATTGAAATGATTTGGACAAACATAAAAAACTATCTGGCTGCAAACAGTAGACCATCCAAATTTTCTGACGTGGAAAATTTATTTTATGAAGCTGTCAACAGAGCGAGGGCATCCGCCACGTTCAAGAGACAATCGAAACAAAGACGTGGGATTTGGGCAATATGATCGATATTCAAGTTGAACCTGTAATAATTAATATTAACAATTCGGACGATGATTCAAGTAACTCCAACGAATCAAGAATTGTGAAAACTATGTGCACTTCTTTCTATATAAATAATCATTTATTTTGTTAGATTATTTCAAGACCATTGAAAAAAATACGGACCTGTACAATCTCGCTTTTGGGTATGGACTACGAATGGGGTATAGTTTTTATATCTAAATCCGAATTTGATAATTTTGTGCTAGCCTCACTATCTCTAAGGGCTCTGTGTTTATCACAAATAGCGTTTGGTACGCCATGTGAGGAACAACTTCAAACACCAGCAGCAAGTATGACTGACCGTTGACGCCTTTCTGTACGGCTGACGTTATAATCCTATAAGTTTGTTCCAACCACCAGTCTACCGAATTTGGCTCCACCGTCTCTTTACCCTGAGCGTGCTGCAATGCGCGTTTAGCGGCATCTTGTAGGAACTGTGGACTGATTTCGTGATCCTCGGTTCTTTTGAATTTGCCCAGACATGCGCACCAAACATCTGGTAGTCCAGCTTCTTGGCAACTACGCACCTCTGGTATTTCATTAAAGAACGAGGTGCAGCTTGGACATGCTCTGCTGTTTTTCACTTGGTAGTCAGTTGACATTGCAAGCACATCCTGTAAAGTCATGTAGAAGTCGTACGTACTAGTCAGCTTCCTAGAATTCTTCTTGAGGTTCTCGTACTTCTCAGGGAAAGCTTGTTGAAACCAAGATGGCACAGAAATGAAGTTGACGGGTAGTCTTTCTTCATACCACCCTTGAAGAGTGGACCTAATTGGTCCAAATCTCATACCGTGGTCAGCCAGAAGTACTACCATATTGTCTTCTAATAGTCCTTCGCTTTTAAAGTCGCTGAAAAATTTCTCGAACACACCATCCATTCGTGAGGGTGAGCTGACGTTTTCGTGACTGAAGGTGTTCATCCAGAAAATGCCAAACTTTGGTTTATTCTTGAATGTCTTAGCGAAGTCTTTCGCTAAATTCAAGACCCTCTCCCCTGAAACAGAAACGAAATAATAGGCTTTGAAACAGAAACGAAATAATAGGCTTGCCAACATTCACGCAAGATTACAATTCGATGGAAAACACTTTTTTAGATAGATATTTTTTCTATTGAATCGTGAGTTCACAGAATCGGATTATTGTATGGGATGCCACATCCTCGGCATTGCTGGCACATCACGCTTGATGGCATAGATCTTTAACCTTAGGACCTTACAGAGAGGTTCAGCAAGCCCCACAAAATTGTCCCGGCCTGACGTTTTGATTGTATTAGTGGTAATCACGCCATTTATTGCTTAGGAGGGGGAGTTGTTTAGAAGAGAACGCTGTTCGGAAAATAGAAAAAGTTGTATTATAGAAGTGACGCAATGAATACCTTACAAAACGTGGGGGTTAGCGAACCCTACTATTTTTGTTATATTTCACTTCATTGTGGGGACATGATTATTTCCACTATCCTTTTCGACAATTTTCATTATCAACCTGCGAGATATGAAATTCTTGTTCAACACATATGAATAAAATGTATCGTCTTCTTTTTTCTTTAGAATATAACTGTAGAAACACGTCGAGAATACGTCTGGTCCAGGAGGTACGCAGAATTTGGTCCATCCACTTTGTTACGCCAACCCTGCATATTAGGGTTCGTACACAGATTGAACTGGCGTTGAGTATAAATGTTTCTGCAGCTGATTGAACGCTCTCGTGATATCAAGACCAACAACACAAGCCTCACCATAATACTGGATTAGTTTACTCTACCTGTGGATCGCTGGTCCTGGAAACCATACTGCCTGTCGCTAATCAAGCCGAGACTTTCGAGGTAGTCCAGAAGCTCGCGATTTATGCACCTCTCATCACCTTACTTATAACAGAAAGCAGAGCTATAGGCCTGTAGTTGTAAGGGTCGGTTTTAGATCCTTTTTTTGGGATGGGTTGGACATGAGCAAATTTAAAGTTTTCTGGGAAGGTGCCGGATCATAAGATATCTGGAAGAGACGCGAAAGAACTGGAGCAAGCTGCACACCTCTTCAGTACAATTGCAGGAATCAAGTCCGCACCAGAAGCTTTGTTGGGGGGCATCTATGGTGGACTTGGCAGTAAAGATCTTGGCAAGCACTTCCGCCTTGGCCTTCGAGTCGGTTACAATCGTTCCATCCTGACACGTAAGTTGGGGAAGGCTACTGTGTGAAAAGTTCTTTTCAATCTGCTTGGTCAGCATCCAGAAAAACCGACTGCCATTTGGCTGCGACATTACCTTGCAAAATCAGACATATCTTTCATCTTTTTCAAAGGAATTGTACAAAATTTTCAAACTTGTGAAGTTAGCGAGTTTCGCTTCATATGTTGTTACCAGACATGCCCAAGTAATCGATTGCTGCCGTAATATTGATCCCGACCACTGCATCCCCACGGCTAGGCGACTTGTATGTTAAATTTGTGTTGATACGGCAGCGGATTATGCTATGCACTGATTGCAACGGTTAGATGATACCAAAAATATTTTCATAAATAGATCTTTCCTATTCCGGATCAAACAATCTATCAAAGATGGTTATGATCATGATATCCAGTAAATTTTCATGAAAAAATCCGCTGTACGTAGGTATGTCAGAGCTTTCTTATATTTGTTCATCAATTAGATGATACAACACATCTGCCAAGGATGATCATAATCAGGATAGTACACTATGACGAAGGTCCACTGTATGTAAGAATTTTCAGATACTTCGTTTGCAATTTGAAGATACAACAAACCACGATGATGATGATGATGAAGTTCACACTTTTCAAATATTCTTCAAGAAGTGATATCATTCTAGGTCCAACTATCTTAAGTACTATGTTTGTCTTCTTACTTTAAATTCAAAACCAGCAAATGTAAAAGATTTATTTCGCACCCTCCACCACGGGACGTGATCGTCGTTAGACTTGGCAACCCTGCGAGTGACAGATAGATATCCCCGCCAGCCAAAAAGACAATCAAACAAGAAACATTCGGGTTAGAAGACATTATTTGTGAGAAATTTTTCATAATGTTTTGTCTATGTCCATAGTAATTGCATTATGCATCGCGGAGATGTAGGGATTGACACGTTTTACACATATTATCTGTGTTTTAGGAAGTAGGGGACACAATGTTTTTATTGCTTTGAAGAAATTTATTAACCCATAAATTAGTCAATGGTTATTATTATGATGTAAAGGAAGATGAGGAATTGGTTGGAATGTATTGTATATTCTATTTTCTTACAAAATACAGGCAAATCCCCACTATTCAACAGGTACATAGCTATAATGATAACATATAAACACTCGGTATACCGAACTTAACAAACTCGAGATTGCCATGAATTAACAAACGTCCAAACCTGCTGTTAAATTTAATAGCTAGAAAATCGACCTATTATTTGCCACATTCCCATTGGCTTTGGAGATAACTGATTGTTAAATGTACATTCATAAGAAAAATCAAAATACATGAAAGTTGTCCTGTTTTCTCTGTACAAAAGCATCAATTGGCCCTTCATTACACTCTGTAATCAATCTAATAAATGAAAAATGTAATTTTTCAAACAAAGAGACCTGTTTTCATACATGAATAATTTTCTCAAACTATTTATCAGCTTTTATTATTATAAGATAAACAAAAATGTAAATATCTTGCAAATATATGGAACTCAAAAAAAATTCTGATGCACTTCGAATTTCCAATTCACGAATTTTCTTTGTGTTACCTAGACCTTCTCCGACACTAAATACTAAAATCGTTTGAATAACACTTATGGAAAATTAAGTATATCTTTTTAACTTACACGAAAATTGCAAACAAAATGTTCGTTTATGTTTGTCATTGAATTTTTTTCTGGGAAGATTATATCATACGTCGTTTCACAATAGACCACGTAGTTTTCCACACCCCGGTGCTCTAAATGAAGAAACATAGCCATTATGTAAGAGATTTGTTATATTTTATAGCGTAGGGGGTCCTAGGGTTAAAAAACCTCATAAAAAATAAATAAAGAGGTGTTGAGTCACATGAATTTTCTGTCCGTAAATGGTAGACGGTATCTGACTATCTAACGTGGAGGTACCACCCGGCGGATCTCTAGTGCGTGGCCAGAATGTGGGCATGCTGCATGCACCCGTAATCCCTCGGGTCCGTGTGGCGCCCCCTCCCTTTTCCCCTGTATCCCCCTATAGCCCCACGGTACCCAATTGGAATTTAGGTGTAAGGTCTTCGTAGTGGTTCAAGTATATAAAAAAAACGAGAGAGTGAACGACTAGGAAGTATCTTATGCAGCAATTGAATAGTTTTACATGCTGTATGGTTTATCGCATCATCTTGTTGATACAACACCTTAGCCAATTTAGGTAGAATGAAGGTCACATATTCATGCCTTGAAGGAAGAAGTCAGACGCTGTATTAGCGGAATTTCAGCCATATTTATGCAACATGTTCATGGAAAGCTGCGACAAAGAAAGTCCGTATGTGCCAGCCAAAACCAAGGAGGCTTAATACTTAATGCATAATCCTATTCTGTGTATTCTATGATTCTGTTAACAAATAAGCATCAAAATGCTTCGTTTTGTTGGGCGAATACTAGGGCACCCCTTATAATTGGTGCTGTTTGTACTAAACTTTTTGTATACTGCTTGATTGGGCAAGAAAATACCTTGGGTTTCTGGACCACAGTAAAATGGCATAGTATCAATAATTGTATTGTATAGAACACCTCTGCAAGCATCAAAGTACGGCTTGAAGTAGTAGTCAGTGGGTGGTTGTAGAAAACCCTTTTTCTGGTAGTTATACGTTGACAGATCGGCCCAGTCCTCTGCATAGGCAGTAACATAACCATTATCTCTATAGTGATACCTAGACGATATAAAAATAAATCTCTGAGCATATGGGACTAATATTAGAATAAGAAAGTAGTACTATGAGGAATTGCATGCTAGATATGCGAAGGTAATACCTACTATGGTAATGGTTCATTATCCTAGTGGAGCTTAAGCATGATTGATGTATCAAATTTACATAGTCTTGGAGTGATACGGGGTGCCGCAAATGAACGTATTGGTTTAAGTTGTTTTTATTTTAATAATTTCCTTTTGTTTGGTATTTAGTGTTTAGGGAAAGCTTGGGGTGTGGAACAACGATTCAAAATCGCCGAAACTTCCGGGGTCTGTTAACCTATACCAGAGTGTATGGTCGTTTTATCATTTTAAGACTTGGACATACTTGCAAGTTTATAAAAAAAGCCCAAAAGTGGAATGTAGTCGACATTCAAGACATTACGTAATTCAACCAAATTTCTCATATTTCTTAAAAGCGAGTTCATTTCAGAGGATTATAAAGGATTTAAGGTATAAGTGAATTTTGTGCTACCCTGTACCCCGATACGAAAACTCCAACAGTGTGATGCAAATGCGATTCCATAGAAAATTGATAATTTCGTTATTCACCGCGTTGCCTTCTGACACTTGCACGGCCATCATGAATCCCCAGACCGAATATGGATTCGCCACTAAAGACAATGAATGGTATTCCATTCGAGGTCTAGTTCAGCTGTCCTCTGCACCAAGCGAGTAGATCACTAGATAGGACAAACTGATGGCGGTGTGATGTAAGTCCAAAACTGTTGATCCCACAATACGCATTGTGATAAGCTTTCCCAGATATCCAAACGACTGGTCTTTAATTGAACTTGTGGAGTCAAAAGCCTGAGGCGGCAATCTTGATGCGAGGCTGATATAATGTCACGGCATGTACCAGTAAATCTTCGTGTACGACTTTCCTGATTCCATGCCAGACAACAAACTACCACCGCATTCAGACTTCTGTGCAACCTGGTGGCTAAGGCCGAATCAACCTCAGACAAGCCCGCAACTCGCCCCTATCAAACCTGCTACTACTCGTATGTTGAAAATTGTCTTGCCTTCTCACTTTAGGCATTAGACAGTTCTTCACAATGTATCAATGATCTAATGCCTTTGCAACTACACGCCACAACCATCCCTTACTTACTTTTTTTTTGCGAAAACAGACGGCAAAATCTACTTTACCGATATATTTGAAAAGCTGATCGTTTGTTGTTCTCACCTATACAAGCATATATCTAAAAAATCTGGGTAAAATTCATGATTAATGGGTGTTCTTTTTTCTATGTCACTTAGTATAGTAATTTGGAGACGAGATATACTTATATAAGGGTGAAAAACTAACTAATTTCCCTTTAATGCAGTTCCATGCAGGATGAATATAATGACAATATGTTCGTGAATATATTAGAGCTCTACTATTATGATAGGGTAGATTATCAGATATGGAAACCTAAAATACTCTTACCATATCATTGGACACTTGTCCAGCATCCCTATTTTGTCAGGTTGACATACGGAATAGGACATCGTCAAGTCCATCCCAGTTAGGAGTGCGTTGAAATTAGGAAACGTGTTATCGTCCATTTTGTTGTAGCCCATGTACTCCCAAAACCCATTTTCAAGCAAAAAATGCCTTGTTCTAGGCATCGTTCTCTCTACGTTCAATCTGGACACACTATCTATCACTATGAACAACACGCTGAGAGGCTTGGAACCTTTTGTAGCAGTTTTTTCGAGTCTTTTCTGCAAGTGATCCGAGACTGTGATTGGGCTATGCAGATTCATGTATATTGGATAATGCCCATATAGGGAACATTGGGTCAAGACGGTATCTTCGCTGAGTTCTACTGTTGAGCTGAAGGGAAACCATCGCGAGAAGCTGAAAAAAAGTGAAACTTAGAGGCCATACCGTCTCATACTAAGGTCGTGGAGGTAGCGCAGTTTTGCTGGTGATGGGTGACACCAGCACACAGGCCTAATCAATCGAGTACGACATGAGGTGTGTACTATAATAGAACGCGGTTGATCCACTTTTTCCAGGGGATGATTCTTCGAAACGAGAGATAAGAATCGTAGATAGACTGTGGGCGTGCTGGTCATGCCTTTCGGAGAACTGTATTCCTAGACACTGACAGAAGAGTCGCTCCCCAAGTCATTCTCGGGAAAAAACGTCGTCGTCCATCAGTCTCATCTTCAAAGATGGAGTTAACTTTGTGACAAAATGCTTAATGACGTGAAGAACCTAGGAACATACTGCCATGTTGAACGTATTCATAAGCTTGTTTGACAAGCGTTAGCAACTGTCAGAATTTGTGATATTTCTCCAGGGAGCATTCTAACCCATTATACGCCCTAAGAAGGGTTTTGACAACATTCTCACATTTGCGAGCTATACGTTTTCCGAGATTTGTTGGCGAGAAAAAGTTATTAAAAGATGGTAGTTGACCCAGGAGGATCAACAGACGACGCAGTTCCACATACTATGAGGAAAGAGCTGAGCGGTGGCGGAAACCAAGCAGAAGCAGAAAACATGAGCTCACTGACGCAGGTGTCATCGGGGCAGGCGAGGCGGATTCGAGACCTAATGGAGACCATCAAGGACCAGACAGCCAAAATTAAGAGCCTGACCGCCCAGGTAACAATATTACTAAATTCAAAAGAATCCCCTAAAGAACGGACAAACACCCTGTAAAGACCACTGAGAAACGTTACTGATGATTATCTCACATCCACAGACCAAGACGTACAGACCGAAGGATTTGCAAAAGCAAAATCAAAAAGGAGGAAAGGCGACAAGGCTGATCGATCAACCCAAGAATTCAGGATCAATTCCATTTCACACCTCCCCCAATTCATCAAATCGAAACACTATTAATGCTTCTACTACCAAGTCAGGAACCACGTTATCTACTATATCTATCAGGTGACTCCGTCAGCCGATGTTACTTCTCTTCCGTCATCTCGTCCAACCGTCGTGGCATCAACACAACCCTCACGACATGGGCGCATATCGTCTTACGCGACGGGACGAGATGGCGTACTTTAAATTTCAAGTTTATTTCCGTAGGTATTAAAATAGATCGCGCTGTTGCCGTCGATGCGGGAATAAGGATTATTCCTAAATCCGAGGATGACTACCGTAAGATCTTTCGCCTATTCCGAGAGGAATAAGTGCCCCAACACAGTTTTCCTCTCCCTTCGGAACGGAACATCCATGCGGTGGTTCGAAGAGTTCCCGTCAACTTTTCGGATACTGAGATTAAGGGAGAACTGGAGCAGAGGGGATATAGCCCTCTCCACATCATTCGATTGAAGCGCAGCGGCGGCGCGCCCATGCCTTTGGGGGTCGTGATACTGCCCAAGACTGAAAAGTCTCAGCAAGTGTTCAACGAACACGAACTGCTGGGACTGGCCATTCGAGTTGAGGTTCAGAAGAACTCCAGACTCATTCGGCAGTGTCACCGCTGCCAAAGGTATGGGCATGCGCAGTCATATTGCACAGAACCGCCCAAATGCTTAAAATGTGCAAATGACCACATGACGCATTTGTGTCCCCTCACAGAAGAGGAGGGGCGCAAGTGCGCAAACTGTGGAGAGGGACATCCCGCAAATAGCCGGACTTGCAAGTTCACTCCAAGGAGGAACTTGCAAGTTATAGCGCAAAGGCGCAGTCTATCATACGCGGACGCAGCTCTGGAGGCAACCCTGCCTGCCCCCTCTGCCCAACCTCCTTTGAGCACGCGCAAAATGTGGACCTGGCAACCGCGCTAAGGTCCTTACAACAAATAATAAGCCCACTGATTAGCGCTACCCAAGCGTTGCAGGCGACATTTCCTGTAAACGTCTAGGTACAATCGTAGACAACCTGCATTCATCAAAATTCTTTTTTGGAATTGTTTGGGCATGAGGGATATTCCCAAAAAACGAGAATTTCATCAAGCTCTTTTGGATGAACGTATAGATGTGGCCTTGCTGCAGGAAACGTTGCTTAATCCGGGAGATCGTTTAGCTCTCCCGAATTATGATGTTATCCGAGTGACAGATTGAATGGTCGAGGCGGCGGTTTAGCAGTGATGATTAAGCGCGGTATAGACTATTATAGAAGCACTAATGCGGAGATGTATATGTTAGGTGTGGTACCAGGCTACAAGAGGCGGATCTGGACTTCAACTGCAAACATCGAGCATGGAATTCTAGGTTGAATTCCACTAGTGGGGTTCGATTGTACAACCATGTGATGCGAAATGGGTACCTTATACATAGCACTGAAGAGCCGACACATCATCCATTCAACCACCTTCAGGCACCAGATGTCATCGACTTCGCGATATCTAAAAACTGTAGATACAGCATCTCTTCTCGATTCTTGTATGATATCTCTAGTGACCATCTACCTGTTGTCATGGATGTGGGCAATGAGCAAACTTTTGAGGAGGCAGCTCCTCCAAAGAAACGCATTGACTGAGACCTATACATGTTGCTCCTTAGAGAGTTTCCCAATATCCCGATAATAGATAATGAGTCTGGAATAGATGCCGCTCAAGCGGAGTGGACAAGTTTCATTCAAGCAGCTCTACAGCGTGCAGCTGTACTTCCTGTACAACGACACGGCAGACCTTTTTTGCCTGCGGACATTCGTCAGAAAATCTCTGGCAAAAGAGCCGCTATTAAGCAGGCAAAAAGGTCTTGTCATCCTGATGACATTCGTAGGGCTACAAATCTTGACCATGAAGTGAGAAACGCACTGCACGAACTCCGCAACGAGCAATGAAGCGACTTTCTGGCGGGAATGCTTGATTCAAGTATTCCTCTCTGGAGGGTCGCAAAGTCACTCAGAAACGGAAAGCGAGAACAACTCCCACACATCCACGGTCCTGAAGGCATAGTTTTCAGAACGGAGGATAAGGTCGAGGTTTTCGCTGATGCCATGGAAAAACAGTTCTCTCCCAACTATGATCTCGATAATGACCTCGACGAGGAACAGCACATCGTACGATCCGTCAGGAGATATGGCCAACAGCGTTAGCCGAGGCACTGAATCCTCTTCAGATGACTCTTCTCGCCGAAAAGGTCATTTATATTTGGCAACTCATCAGCATGGTGCAGGCTTGGTCCCGGTGGACAACGAAAGGAAGTTGAGTATTCACGGTATAAGGTCTATCGAAATAAGACAGCATAAAGTGCCAACTATTACGAGAATCGACCACCGTATCTACTGCAGTCCCAGAATCGGCGGCTTTTGGCGGCCATAGTGGGGAATCAGCTGAGAATGAGAACTGACATAACGTTGCAACTGACAGCTTGCTATTTTCACTTTCGCAGTGGTCGATTGTTGCATACCGAGAACAAGCCTACATCGTACAGAAGAGTTGCCAAATAGCACCAAGCAACTGTCTATTATTAGCCATCTGTGGCCGGATGGAAACCATATTACTAGTTGGAACTATAGTCATTCTAATCTTCTAGTGGCAGGATAAAGTATTTCTTAAAAATCTATTCTCGAGCCCTGTGAAGAGAGCTTTTTTATTTAAGCGTAATTTAAATTATTGACAGAAAGGTTGAAATATACAGGAAAGCAGCTAGAGTACTGAGACTATTTGGAGTTTCCCATGCTACATGTCTTATGACAAAAGATAGCATTGAATTCAGAAGTTTAAAACGTCTTGAAGCCGGACTTGATTACTTAAATTATACGTTTATATCTTTGGGAACTAACCTGACTCCAACATCCGGTTCATCTGCACTTCCATTTCTTCGAACATAACTGTAATAACAATTCAAATTATCCCTCATCCAATTTTTATTGAAGATCTCATCAATGGCACTTGTGTTTAGATGCAGGTACCCCTTATTTTCATGAACGGTAGTGTAAGTCAGAATGTTCGAATCTGGTATTGATGGATAAGGCAATGGAATATGAGTGGCATTTGTATCTTCTGTAAACGCTGGGAAGTTTGGCAGCCTACATTTTGGGTTGTCGATTAGAAATTCTGGATCTGGAAACAAAGATATGATTACTATGGATTGTATGTAGCTAGTTTATAAGCAATAATCAGTTACCAGCAGATGACTTGTGAAGTAACAGTATTGATACTAAGGGGTCCACAAAAAGCGCCAAAGGTGGCCTAGCTGCCAGGATCCGCTTCTTCACTTTACGATATACTACTCGAAGCCAGATATCCCAGAAGTACCTTTATGTGTGAAATTTCAAAAAACGTATCTTAAAAGGGCAATCCTCAACAGATTGGTGTCTGTTCAACGAATCAAAATAACACCTTCAACTCGTGTGGGACGTGTCATCAGAATAACTGGAGATCCAGTCAACCAGTCACTGTTTGCACCCTGCTCTTGGTTACAGTATTTTGCTGGTTGTTCTGTCAGGTTCAGTTGCGTTATCAACTAAATTTCAAGATTTTCTAAATTCAATGTTCCCTCATTTGGGTTTTGATGTACATCATTTGGTCCTATTTCGCATGCCCCTAATGTCGCTATACATATTGTGTGCTATAGTAGTAAGGGATGCCGAGGTTCTTATGGAGGGCTTATGGATGACATGACTGTGAAGCTTTCTTAATGGTTCGAAAGATCCCGCTCAACAGCGTAAGCAGGCTTTTCCTTATAATACAATAACCATCTTGTAAGTTATAATATTTCAAAAGTTAAATGATATCTTTATACAAATACATAAGGTGTTTACGCCTTATGATTCGTCGAATTTGCGCTATTGCTGAAAATTCTTAGTATGATTGACTTTGGTTCTTAAAAACTTTATGATTTAAGTATCTCACCTGCGAGTACCACGTAACCAGCATTGACGATCAAACTAACACAAAACAGTAACATCATACTATCCAGCTGAACAGATAAAAGAAAACTAATTACTTCTCTGTTTCATTGAATTGCACAGGCAATAATAAAAACGTTTATAAACAACGATGTTGTCAAAAAATCGATAAACTTTGATCTTGATGCACAGTCGAGTAACTAAATATGTGCCATTGCCGATAGATGGATATATGGGTAGTACGCGATGACTGGATCAGCGGGAACATTGACCTTATTTTGATCGACGAACTCATTTCAGAAACAACTGATTGGAACGTTCGTTTCCTATAATATATATGCCGAAACAAATTAATTGTGGAAATATCCATGGAATTCATAATAAGTTCAAATACCTATAAGATACGAGTCAGTGATAATATAACGATGAACGTGAAAACAAGAAATTCACCTTAGACGGTTTCGAAGTACCAGCCTGTTCCACTCTATTTGTATTACAAGGGCAGTACGTAAACAGTTCGACATGAGCAACAATACCATATAAATTTTGAAGTTTCCGCTTTAAGATGTATGAATTAAAAATAAGAAATGTATCTACAAGTTGGTTGGGAGGATACCCAAAGCTGAAATCTGTCGAATATTCCAGAATGGAAACATTTCACGCAGAACCATTTATCGAACAATAGCGGAGTGCAAGCAGGGAATACATGCCTGAATCTCCCAAAACGTGGAGAACCACGTGCATTTACAGCACAAAGGTCAGAGAGATTGGTGAGGAGAACAAAAAATCAGGTTGGAATGTCAACAAGGAGACTGGCTCGTCAAAACAGATCTTGTAAGAGTACGATACCGTTGTAATTGAGGAGGAATGGTCTTAAATATCGGAAGAGACTTAAGTGCCCCAAATGCTGTCAAGCGCAACCCCCTCGTATACCAAGATGCTGTAGTCAAGTGAGGCGGGTACACTTTGCCAATGCAAAAACCATTATTTTAGATGACGAAAAGTATTTCGCTTTGAGTAATTCTGAAATGAAGGGAAACGACGGATTTTATACGGACAACGTAGAGGAGTGCCCTGACATTGTTAAATATCAACATAAAGCGAAATTTACAGATAAAATCATTGTTTGGTGCGCAATTTCTAGCCGGGGTGTATCCCAACCTCTTGTGGGAAGAGTGAGGTGTAAAGCTTTGAATAGTCAGAGCTATATTGATAACTGACTTTCCAAATTGCTTCGGTTTGTCCACGAATATCATGCTAATGACCACATGATGTTTTGGACAGACCTAGCATCATGTCATTACTCAAGAGATACTCAAAACTAGCTTCGGCACTTCAGCACAACATACCTTTTGTTAACAAAAACGACAATCCTCCAAACTTGCCGCAGGCTCGCCCAACAGAGGATTTTTGGGCTTTACTGTTTAGGAAGGTTCGTCATGGAGGTTGGGAAGCCCAAGATGAAGAACAGTTGAGACGGCGAATTTACGAAAAATTTAGAGAAACGGATCTAAATTCCGTCCAGGACCTCATGAGGGACATTTGAAGGAAGTTGCATCTGGTGGAGCAGAGTGGGCCATGATAGCATAGTTTAGTTGAGTATTGAGTTGTAATTTATGATAACTGGTTAGTGCTTAAATAAATTTGTACATTAAAGAAAATCCGATAAATATTTTGTGGCAAAACTTTTAGGACATACGTTATCTTTAGAGAAAATGATTTCATTAGTGTACCCGGACCACTAGTAAGACGTATGGATTGACTGTAGGCTCACCTTTGGAGGGCACTTAAGCAGAACGGCGACCAAGGCTGCAAAACTGGTCTCACTTCTTTTTTTTTTTTTTTTTTTTTTTTTTTTTTTATATCGAAACAGCCGCGCAGGCAGAAGCCTAAATGCCGGAACACCGCGGCTGCTATGATGATCCCAAAGAAATTTTGTTAATACGATTTTTGAACTGCCTAAGGTTAGTAGAACTGGGAAAAGCTTCCTCCCGTAGATTGTTCCACAATCTAGACACCCTCGGGACAAAGGAGCGGTCGTATCGGCCAGTTCTGGATGTACAAAGTTTGACACGGTTAGGATGGGACGCCGAAGTCAGGCGGGTCTGTCTGGTAGGCACATCGCGCGGCGGCATCATGGAAGAGAGCTCTGAGGAGCAAAGCCCGTTGGTGTAGCGATAGAAAAGAGCTAGATCGCCGACGGCCCGCCGGTGCGAAAGAGTCCCGAGACTGTCTGTTAGAGAAGAGTCATCGATCAGTCGGACCGCCCTCCTCTGGACAGCATCGAGCATGGACAATGTAGTCGGGGCGGCAGCACCCCAAATGTGTGAGCAATACTCGAGGCTAGGCCTTATCTGGGCCTTGTATAGAGTGAGAAGGTCATGCGGAGAAAAGTACTTCTTAGCCCTGAACAAATAGCCTAGCTTTTTCCCAGCAGCTGCAGCTATTGAAGAGATGTGTTCGTGCCAGATCAGGTCCTCGGTGATCTGGACTCCGACCAGCCGAAATGAATGGCTCTTTGGTAGAACTCGACCGTCCATCGAAACTGTATGAGCGCTAGGACGCTTTTTGTTCGTCAAAGTACAGTACTGTGTTTTGGAAGCATTGAACTGTACAAGATTGTTGCGTCCCCAAGCAGTGATAGCCTCCAGGTCTCTTGTCAGAGAAGAAGTCGTCGCTAGTCTTCTTTTTTCCAGCTCAGCGGCAGAGATCGGCTTGTCACTCTGAATCCCTGCATGCAGAGTGCTGTCATCAGCGAAGCTGTGGATTGGGTTGATCGTGCAGGAAAGGAGGTCGTTGATATGTAAGAGAAACAGTGTTGGAGCCAAGACCGACCCCTGGGGAACACCCGCGCTGACGTTGTGGGATGAAGAGGAGAATCCGTCAAGTACGACGGATATCTTGCGGCCAGAGAGAAAGTCAGCCACCCATCTACAAAGCTTTTCTGGGAGGCCGTAGGATGGAAGTTTGCTCAAGAGGGCAGCGTGCCACAGCTGATCGAACGCTTTCGTGATGTCAAGAGCAACGACATGAGCCTCACCATGAGACTGGATGAGTTTACTCCACAGTTGCGTGACGTAAGCTAGGAGGTCCCCTGTGGATCGTTGGTGCCGGAAACCGTACTGCCTGTCGCTAATCAAGCTGTGACGTTCGAGGTAGTCCAGAAGCTCGCGATTTATGCACCTCTCCATCACTTTACTTATAACAGAGAGCAAAGCTATAGGCCTGTAGTTGTAAGGGTCGGTTTTAGATCCTTTTTTTGGGATGGGCTGTACATGAGCAAATTTCCAGTTTTCTGGGAAGGTGCCGGATTCATAAGATATCTGGAAGAGACGCGAAAGAACTGGAGCAAGCTCAGCTGCACATCTCTTCAGTACAATGGCAGGAATCAAGTCCGGACCAGAAGCTTTGTTGGTGTCGAGCGACAAGAGCACTCGTCTTACGGTCTTATGCCTGAATGTTACCTCCCGCATAGTGTGGGGAACCCTTTGAATTGACGGCACTTGGGCGTTGGTGGGGACGTCCATGGTGGAGTTGGCAGCAAAGATCTTGGCTAGCACTTCCGCCTTGGCCTTTGAGTCGAATACAATAGTTCCATCCTGACACGTAAGTGGTGGAAGGCTACTGTGTGAGAAGTTCTTTTCAATCTGCTTGGCCAGCGTCCAGAAAGACCGACTGCCATTGCGCTGCGACATTACCCTGTGCCTAACTTTTATATCATGCTGGGTTTTGGCATTGCGAACCGCTTCGTTATATTTGTTTCTGGACTCGACGTCGGCTTGTCTGTTCTCTACAGTGGGGTTTTGTAAGTAGGTTCTGTGGGCCTTGATCTTCTGCTGGCGAGCAGTGTCACACGATTTGTTGAACCAGCCGTTGGACCCTGGTTTAGGAACTTTCACTGTGTGAGGGATGTATTCCTCCATTCCGACGTGGATAATTTCGGTTATTGAAGAACAGACTGATGCCCAATATGGAGGTCCGCGAGCGAGCAAGAAAGCGACCTTAGATTCAGTGGCCTACTCTGTTAAGCTATAAGCATCACCCATATGAGAAGGGGCCATGAGGGTAAAACATCATATTGCCAAGCTGAAGAGAGCTAGTAGAATTAGTAGTAGACTATCGGCTGCGGCTGTTGAGGTCATTTCCAATACGCTACCCATAGATCTGGCAGTGGAAATGAGAAGGCAGGTGCATGAAGATCCCACTAACTCTGGAAGACAAGCAGCGTACGATAAACTGGTGTGAAGCTGGCAGCAACGATGGCAAGTTACCACTAAGGGTTGCTGGACGATGGTACTGATACCAAATCTGGAGGCATGGGCTAAAAGGGAATATGGCGAAGTGGGCTTCTACCTGACCCAGCTATTGACGGGGCACGGGTGTTTCCAAGTGTATCCTGAAAGATTCGCCATTTGCAACGACTCATCCTGCCTGTACTGCGGAACCATGGACGATGCCTTCCACACCTTTTTCAGGTGTCCCAAATGGGAGGTAGATAAGAATGCAGCCGGTGCACCCTGGACACCATTGTCAACTCGATTGCAGTCTCCTGATAACTGGACTGCTGTAACGAATATGGCAAGAGGCATACTAGCCAGGAAAGTGATAGCGGTTAAGGATATGCGAAGCCTCTTACCATATCGGTACATGTCAGAGGACTAACAGGGAGGAACGAACAAATCAGTTCAAACAAATGAGACGAGAGGATCAACACGTTCAACCTCCCCGAACTCCTGATCCAGTTCATCCGGGAAGGGAGACGTAGGGCAAAAGCAGAGGGTGATAGAAGATGAAGATGATGAAGAAGCTTCTGTGCGAGAAGATATACCATCAGCGGTAGTTCCAGCATGACAGGAGGTTCGTAGATCCACTCGCTCCAGGGTTGCGGCCTGACGACGGTCTTATAAAAAAGGAAACAGACCACTAGTAAAAGTTCGAAACACAGACTAGGTCATGTGATCGTCATACAAACTGACCTTTGGTCGCCAGTTAAGCTAAGCTTAACAGTTGTTACAAAAAGCAGTCGAGGAATCAGGATATTCAGAGATAATCGAGCAACATCACTGCTTGAAACTAATAATCCAAGCCACGAGAAGATAGCTAAGCGGTCATGCAGACCTAGGCTGTCACGTCGACCAAAAGCCCCCGTGTCAACATCCTAAGCGCTTCGAAATTTCCCTGGCAGAGGAAACAGGACATAACTATACAAACCCAACAATCGAGTTCAGAAAGCCCCGCTGCAACCCCCAGAAACTAGAGAGGTCCCACCTGCGGACATTCAATAACAA